TCCCCTAACATTACAGATAAAACTAATAATGTGAGAAGATGGAGATAGGAAGTTTTCACATAGTAGCCAATACAAGATTAACCTGGGAAGGTCTAAATTTTGTAGAGTGAAGCTCTACCTCTAACAATTTTACGCACCTTAACCGATAGATATCATTTGACTTGTTTTGAAAACACCTGTGGTTCTGCTCCATCCGAATGCAATATGTAGTCGCTAAGAATAATACCTTGAGGAGCCTCGCCCTCAAGTCTTTGCCCTTAGTAGCCCTTATCGTCTATTGAAGATTATCATTCCATCCTCCTACAGAACGCCAAATCCTAGGTCGTGCCAGGATACTATGCCATATACTTCCAATCCAATTGCGCTGGAAGAACAAATATGTTCTGTCTTCTATACGGGTCCTATAAAAATTACACTGGATATTGACTAAAGCCACCCATCATGGTACGATCTTTGCTATCGGAAGCCTATTTCTGCTAAGAAACCAAGTGATAAAATATGCTTTGCTGATACCGCTGGTCCAAATTAGGTAATGTCACTCCACAACCATTCTCACTTGCTTGAGTTAGTCATAAATCTCTTTACAACAGTATCTAGAGCTAGATATGACCAAACTTAGAGCATGTCTCAACTTAAGAAGACATTGCCAACTCCGAGCCATACTAGTCTTGATGTCGAGTTGCATAATAGGAGTGCCTATGCATTTAGTATTGTGAACCCAATTACTCCATAGGGAAGAGGATGGATAATTGATGAGGTTCCAAAGCATGCGATCTACCTAGAGAAAAAGATTTGACACTTTCTAGGTTAAACTGCAATCCTATGAGAGCTACAAATTCATTCGTGCATTAACAAGGCAAATGACCGAATCTACATCCTCGTGACCAAAGAGGAATAAATCATCTATGAAGCATGAGTGAATAATTTTTTTGCGGCATAAGGACACTAGAAATGCCAAAGTTTCGTGTAGTGCTCACTTTGGTACCAAAAATTTTCGACAGATCATTTAAGAGCCACTTTTTAAAAAAATAATCAATTTAAGTGTCAACTCCGATTTGGGTGTGGAAATATTTTAATAATTTCCCCGATTGATGTGGCTTGCCAATGTGCCCAGTCAGTATATATACCGATTAACGACATCGTGTACATATTTTGCTCCAAATATAAACTTAAATTGGACAATCAATCATTTTTCCAAGTTCCCCAAATATCAACTCTAATTCTCAAAAGCCACCAATTAGCAGAGAAATAATACCCGTGGACACGAGTACCTGTAAATTCCTCGCTAAAAGATTGTCCTCTACTGGAGTAAATTGTCCATTTACAGTAGATGTTGCAGCAACTCTATCTCGTCTCCCTCGGATCAAGGACGAAGCTTGTCCAGTGAGCATGTCATACTGAGACTGCAGATAAAGAAGCCACCATCACCCATCCCTCGACCTTCAAACCACCGTCCACCGTCTTCAATCGCCGTCAGCCACCATCAAATCTCCATCACCGGCCACCTCGTGCTCATTGCAACCAAAACAGAGCACAACAGTACCCATGGATCTCACTAAGTAATCTTCTCTTTAGGATTTTTTAAGTTCAATCATCGGTGATCCTTCTCCATGGCTCTCCACAGTTGTCGCCGCCGTTGATTGATGCCGTCCGTTGTTCCAAGTCTTGCCAACCGTGCCTCTCTTCTCCCCAATTTTTTTATCCAAGTGTTCAAAGTTCCTCGCGCTCAATCGTTCCTTCTTCGCCGACGCCGATCCCCAACGCTTGATGATTTGCTTCAAACCACGACATCTTTACTTCAAAATTGTTGAACAAAGCTCGAACGAGAGAGAGAGAGATTAAATTGCTTTAAAGTGGCGTCGTTTTGTGATTAAAGGTTACCTCGTTTACATGGACTTCCCTTTTTTTTTAATGAAAAAAGTCACCTAGGCATTAACATTTAATTAAAAAAGCCACGTAATATTTTTTTTATTGGAATTTATAGTCAGGGGCATTTAAGTGATCGTTTTTCTCCGACTTAACATTTAAGTGAGCCAGTGAAAACTTTTGACACTGAAATGAGCCACATGAAATTTTTGGCACTTAGAGTGTCCTTGTGCCATGTTTTGCATTTTACATCACCAAAGGAACTTGAAGGAAGAAGCTATAACTTTCGCATTGATAATTTTGTTAAAATTTTCCATAATCAAAACAAAGAGATATGAAGATAGTGGATCACCTTGTCGTAATCCATTAGTGCTATCGATATAGCCAACTTGTTTGCCGTTGAAGTTAACTAAGAACCTCAGTGTAGTGATGCACTGATTTATCAAATCAACCAAGGAGTGAGGTGTATTTATAGCTTTAAGATCCCTGAGTACTGCTTCCCATTTTACCATATCAAAAACTTTTAAAAGATCAATTTTTATTGTCATGCTTACCTTAATTTGTCACGCTTATGATAATTGTGTAATAGTTCTTGGCATAGTAGAATGTTCTCTGAAATCCGCCATCTCGAGATTCATCAAGGGATGTGTTTGACTGCACTTATCATCTACAACAATTTATGACTTTCCACCTAAAACTCTATTTAGTTACAATAAATCTGGAAAAAAAAAAACTGTCCATGGTTCTACAATGAAAGATTTCAACTGTTTCGGTTAATAAAATTCCGAGTATGGGTTCCACAAGATTATCAAACATTCAAACATAAAAAACAGAAATTACTCCAAACAGCAGTTTTAGCATTTGATTTGACAAATAATGTTGATCAACCAAATGAACTATTTCTGTGCTCTGAATGGTACATTTAGCAGAGAAGCTGTCACTTTAAAAGGGCAATACTACATATTTTTCTATGAAAACTTAGAGAGTAATAATGCTACATACACGGAAGAGTTCATAAAGGCTTTGTAATTTGTATACCTAGCATTGCTCTTTGTAAAATATTCACCGCTCTTACTTTTGCATGATGGAAGTCTTTACCTCCATTCGTTTACAGTAAATGATTCGAAAGTTCGCACATGACAACATCGTTAGGCCTCGACTCAATGAATGCAATAAATGCTTAACACTATCACCCCTTATAAGTACTCTTTGGTCTCAACACAGACCTGCATAAATGTCCACAAGTCAAAGCTAGCTTCTACCTGTCTCTTTCTTTCTCAATTGCTCTCAATTTTAGTCTTCTTTGAATCATGAATATCAGAAAGATAGAAAACGTAACAAAATGTCAAATGACATTGTCGAAGAGTTGGAAGTAATCTGATGAAAAAGATTCATGAGACCTCGATCTGTTGCAACATGGTTTGTTGCCTTTCTCACCTGCCGGTCACCATAGCAACTTTTATATGTTAGATGCAATTTAGCAAAAGACTTAAGTTTCCGATTTTGATGGATAAACAAAAACCATGCACATATCATAATCGAATGCAGAAACGTGAAGAATTCTGTTCTAAACTCCAGCCATTGATGAAGTCGTAAACCGAAAACGCAGAGCCTTAAACGATCTTGAATAGGTACTTCTAGCCAATTGTCCTCTCAACATTGATGGTGTGTTTTTCTCTATTTTAGGTTATGAGAGGGTTTGGCTTAGATGATCTATTTATATGCATCCATAACTTCTTCCATCAAGATAATTATCTTAATATTGGACGATGACCATAGTTATCACGCACCTTAATGCGCACAATAAAACGTCGACGAAATTAATTAATGTAGACAATAATAAATCGAATGTGAAATCACATTATTGATATTATAATATTATAGTCGAAATTTGTTGTCTGCTTAATTTAAATTGTGAAAATACATTGTGATTAGTTCACCTAGTAAGATTTTAGCTACCTTTACTTGTTGATTCTTGATATTTTAAAATCTGATTTGTATCTAATTGTATGCGTTTTAGTTAGAAAGGTATGTTTTAACAATTTATTTCTTTAAGTTATAGTCAAATTGGATAGAATCTCCGTTTAAGTTATCATCTTACCCCCTTTTAAGCTTTAACAGCCACATGAACTATGTTGAGCAACATTCAACATTATTAATAGAGATTCTGCTTTTTCTATTTGACTGATTAATGGTTGTGGACTGAATTTTTTTTGTAAAGTTAAAGATGAGTTAAAATGAATAATGTAGGAGATGATGAAGAAGCCAAAACAGTGTAACCATATCAATGGTGATGAAAATCTGACCGGCAAGATCCATATGAAGTAGCTGCAGTACTCGGTTAGTAACAATAATGTTTATAGATTTAAATGTACTTCAAGCATGCATTGCACGTCTCATTCTTTTCGTATCTCATTTTTGAAAGACCACGTACTAGGTCCTTTGTAGTTAGTTTGGAGATTTGCTTCAGGCTAATACGACCTAGCTTCCTGTATAGAAGCTCTTGCTTCGCTTTGACAAATAGCAAACAACAGGTAGTATTACAGTTAATGTTAAGTAGGTGGATATTGCCATTCCTCTTGCCAGAGAATGTATGTGACCAATCCTTGCCTTTACCTATGCATTCACCGTCCCTGAGTAAGGGTTAATGCCACGAAAAATCTCAAATCGGTACACCTGTAACAAATTTATCTCAAATTAATTTTTTGATCACAAAAAATCCCAAACTGATACACTTGTAACAAATTTACCCTCTGTTAGTTTTTATTAAATTTTACCAGCAAATTGCTGAATTTGATAATACGTGACAGTTGACGAGTATACAATTTAGGGTTTTACCCCTCTGTTTGCCACAAGTTTATCAATTTGTAGTTTTTCGTGGTAATAATTTAATTTAACAGAGAGTATATTTATCATAAGTGTACCAGTTTAAGGTTTTTGTTTATTAAAAAATTAGTTTAGGGTAAATTTATCACAGATGTATTATTTTAAGGTATTTTGTGATAAAAAATTAATTTAGGATAAATTTATCATAAATGTATTAATCTAAAAATTTTCATGATATTAATCCTTATTCAATTCCAAAGGTCCCACTTGCCGGTTGGTCGTTTTGTTCGGCAAAGCCCCCACAAAGACCATACAAACTCCCAACTTCAGATAGCATCATCTTCATCATCAGCGCTTCGTCTTCTTCTCCTTCTTCACAGCCTGGCTACAAGCAAGCAACAATGGCGATCTCCACGCTGACGTTCACCACCCCAAAACCCCACAACCCCTTGCAATCCCTCGGTTCCAAGCACTCCCCTGTTTCGAAGCCTCCCCTGTCTCCTCCTCCTCCCTTTCCTCCTTGCTTCCCTCGTTCTTGCTCCTCGCTTGCCAGCAACGCGATGATGTGCGTGAGCTCGAGCTCCGCGGCGAAGACGCTCGCGTCGAACGTGGGTGTTGGATTTTTGGCGGCGTCTGTTCTGGCTCTGTGTCCGTTGGATGCTGACGCGACCAGAGTCGAGTACTACGCCACCGTCGGCGAGCCCACGTGCGAGCTCAGCTTCGCTCGCTCCGGGCTTGGTTTCTGCGACGTCACGGTTGGTCCGGGCGAGGAGGCCCCTCGTGGTGAGCTTGTCAATGTGAGTGAACTGATTGACTTTTGTTCTTTCTATTTGGCTTGGTTTTTTTTTTTGGTTAAATCTTTCCACAATTCTATTTGGCTTGGTTTGTATCTGCATTCCAGTCGAAAGGGTCAAATATATTCTATTTTTCGAGAAGCCATTGTGTAATTTGTTATTATTGGATGGAATTGTGGAAACATCGAGATTAGATATACTTGCTGCTCTTTAACTAGTGTAATTGTCTGCAAGATGGATGCCATTTTTTTTTTTTGGTAAGAAGATGGATGCCATTTTGTGTTCTTTTACTTTTACAAATCTCTTCCCACTTGTTAGTAAGATTGGGAGAGAATAGGAAACAGAATTCATAATTTAGAGAGAGACAGAGACAGAGACAGACAGACAGACAGAGAGGTGATTTAAGCCAGCCATTCTTTCGTTTGGTGTATGTTCACTTCAAATTACCGCAGATTATTTCCAGCTTATGGGTTGAAAAGGGGTTGACACGTCGGTGCACTTGGCTAGTCTCTGTGCCCATTTCTTTTCTTCCTCCTCTAATTCATGTATATCCATAGACTTATGTGAAGGTGTGAAAGGCATATTGATACAAGAAAAGAAAGAGTTAGTTACAAGTAAGTTATGTTATGAGCTCAAAAGTTACAAGCTTTGTGGAATAGGTCTTCACAGGATTCCACAACAGACTAATTTATGATCGGGGTGATACAGGACACACCAAGTGTTTGAATCCCGAAAACCAATTGTAATGTCATGTTTTTCTTGTACCTCAGTTAGATGGTTTTGTGTTTTAGGACAATAGTTTTTTTTTTTTTTTTTTTTTGGTAACCCCCGCACGGCCGACACCGAGGAGGTAAACCCGGGGGTGACGCTAGCGCAGGACCCACCACCACGACGTCACGCTTAAGAATCCTAACGCCAGCGCTGGGATTCGAACTCCTACCCTTCGTGGGGGAGGGGAGCCCAGCCAGCGCGCAGGCGAGGTCGAGTGGTGTTTTAGGACAATAGTTGTGCTCTATAAAGATACAGAACACGATTAATGAAGAATGCTGAACCTTCAAGGGCATGCCAATGGTGATGGGAAGATTTCTTGAATCTTTCTGTTCATGGTTCATACTTTGGGGATGAGGCCAACTTTGACTGATTTTTAATCTGCCAAAAACCTTTGTAGAAATCCTGGCAGCGTGTATAATCTCAAAAATCATGGTCAACGTTATTTATGTAAACATTCCTCCGTCGGTTTAACATGATCTGAAAGAACTCAGTTTATTAGGTTACAAGGTGTCATGCTTCCTTCTATTGCCTTTAGGCAGAAAATAAGTTACTCTATGCCCAAGGTTTTCCTCCATAATGCCATCTTTGTTTATTGTGCAGATTCACTACACTGCACGATTTGCAGATGGTAGAGTCTTTGATAGCAGCTATAAACGTGCTAGGCCTCTTACAATGCGTGTTGGTGTTGGAAAGGTATGAGACTTTCCTCTTTATTTCTTGAGCTTCTTTAAGTTTTAAATCATTGGCCATCAATAGGTTGATAAGTGACTGCTTAGTTGGTTTTAGTTCAAGGCGAAGTTCTTTAGCAATGCTGACTTGGCAACAAAAATTTTCATCGTGCTGTTCTCTAACCATCTATACCATTGCTGCATCTTCTTACTGTTATTGCGTAAGTTGTCCTTCACATGATAACATATTTCGAACTCAGAGGGGTTGTTTGAGCAACTTCATATATGGTGTACTGTGCTTCACATGTAATGAATACAAGGTGGTTATAGATGTGAAGTCACAGCCTGCTAGAGAAAAGAAAGTTTTTCTGGACATATAATCTATAATGTCCAAGATTGACTATCGGTCAGATAATAAGGACACACACCGATGCAATTTCTTCAAATGCCATCTCAAGTTTCGGAAGTCTAATTATTTTTCTTTTCTTTGCAATTGGTGCTTCTCTTGTACGTGGATTCTGGTGTCACATTGATGACAAATCCAAACCCACTCTCCCTCTTTGGAGCATCTTGTTACCAGTTTGATAAAATCTTCTTCCTTCATCAAAGGCATTTAATAATGGCTTTGATAATGACTGTACATGGCATTGTTTATCCAGACTGCACTCTATTAGGTTAGAAGAGCTTGTAGTCTCGGTTAGTTTATTCTTTTTTGTCCTTATGTGTACAGTTGAAAAGATTCCTTCATAAATGGTGCAAAAAGATATTTTTGCTGTCCATTTTATGACTTTTTTAAGGCATCCTTAGATAACTTTACATCAATTCCTGAGCGTGGCGAGTCGATGCACAAATTTCTATATTTCGATGGTCTATTTAAACATGTATAATATTTTTTGATGATATGCACTTGCCTCATGAAAACCAAAGTTTGTCTTGTTAATTTGTACTTTCAAAGAGAGCAAAAGTATATATTTTCTTTTAAGCAATCAACCACTAGTGCTGAATCTTGATTGCCAAATTATGTGGTCGGATCTTTTGATGTAAGTGATAAGGTTAAGATTCATGACTAGGACAAACATGGGCAGGGGGAATAGGGACGAGAAGCACAACAACTATTTGTGTATTCGTTTCTGGGCTAACCTTCTGTGCCTTATTTTAGTTCCTCTTTAACAGAAAAAAAAAATGTCTCTGAAATTATAGAGTAGTGATGATTTGTGCCTTGAGAGAAATAGCAAGTCAGATAAGAAGCTCCATGTAACTGCAATTCTGCTCTGGTTGCCTAGGTAATCAAAGGACTTGACCAGGGGATACTAGGAGGTGCTGGGGTGCCACCAATGCAAGTCGGTAAGACATTGAATGCAATATATAATCTTCAAATTTTGTACTCTTTCTTTGGGGGGGTCTATAGAAAAACATAACCCTGCCAAATTTCCGTAGGTGGTAAACGTAAGCTTCAGATTCCTCCACAGTTGGCATATGGGCCAGAACCTGCAGGATGCTTTTCAGGTGATTTTGCAAATACTTTCAGACTAAGCATTACATTATTTAGTTACACCAAAAGCTTAAAGCTATTTTCCTTCAAGAAGCAAAAATCAGCTTATGTGGTCAAAGAAGAGTATTACTGGACAGGGAGTTGTTTTAGTATTGTTTTCATCTTCTCTGTTTCGATAGTATTTCAGTTTGAGGGAATCCCACCCCATGCCTCTTTGTTCTTCTCATGAAAGCAGCATTACCGGCCACTGTAAGTTAACACCTTGTACGGCTAGCTTTTGACTAGTATATGGCTTTTTCTAAATCAAATGCTTGTGTCAAAATCAAGACATCTTTTTTTAGGTATTTTATACTTAAGTACATGCCCAAAACCCCATGCCTTGTTATAAATCATCCAACTGGAAGCTCAAAAATGTGAATTTTTTGGATAGGTGACTGCAATATACCTGCCAATGCGACTCTCATCTATGACATAAAGTTGGTGGGTATCTACTCGGGAAATGCAAAGTGAAGCCAGCCCAAATCCCCTGCATTATAAAGTAAATATGAGGACATTGAAGGTGTGTTGAGGTCAGTAATCCTATTCTTCTTGCTATCAATTCCCTCCCACTAAATGAACCCCCGATGCTATCAATAAAGGAACCCGAGATTTAATATATTTGGATTATTAGTACAAATAGAGCTTATAGCTTTATCTATGTAGTCATCAAGAGCCAAAATGTAAGGACATCAACTTAGCCATTTCTTGGATCGTACCATTTGTGAGAAATGGCTAGTTGAGGTCTATGCAACAAATGACGCTAGGGTGAAAGAACTAGGAAATAGTTGGAACAACTGCATTATAACTTGCATTTAAGGCTAGCAATTCCGGACACGACCCATTTGCATGACACGAGGTAAAATACAAATTACAAAGAGAACAACCAAATATGACCCGACCCAACCCAACACGCTTAACTTCATATGTTAATACGAAACAATTCATTTTCATCATATTTCAATTATTTAGTATGTGGAATCGAAATTAAGATGTTTTAGGCTGACAAAAATTGACACAAATTACAAACACGATTATGACAGGCCAAACCGAATTGTCAACTGTAATTGCACTCGAGGTGGTATCTCATTTATTCGAAATCCTCTTGTTGCCAGGCAATTGGTCCTTTGTCGGCTAGTTGCCTGTCAATTGTTAAATAATGCTCCGTACGATTCAAATGATCAAAGTAAGTGAAGTGTTTGAGTTTTCATTTGTACTGGAAACTATTTTCCCTTTTCAGGTTTCCTGATCCTAAAAGCGTGCTTGGTCTATTGTTTTTTATATGTGAATTTTCTGCTTTTTCATATTTTAGGACAAGAAATTCCTGAAAGAAATATGTCTCTTTTCATTTCAGTTGGAAGATGAAAAAAACTGCATTTGTGAATTTTAATTCTACAAGACTGTTCTTAAGTTTTCAAAAAACCAAAAGACAAAAAAGCTGCTAACCAGTTTATTACCAGTTCTCTAATTTCCAATGAAAATTGCAAGGGAAAAATGGACAATTCCTTGCGATTGATGGCACATTGTATTTTTTTCCATCTGCATGCAATGGCCTTTTCTGTTTAAAAATGATTGTTTGAAACTTTGACATTAAACGAATTCAGTGGCACAGTGAAATGAATAGCCCCATGAGTGATCTTTGGTGATGTGGAGGATATCTTTGTATGTAGTCATACGTGACGTATTTAAGATTTGATGCTGATTTCATTCTCCATAAAGACTCTGGATTCACGCGAGGTACTGAAGTTAAATGGCTCTAGTTCCCTGAATGCACATAATAGGATGAGGTGGTATAATTGGCCCTGCATTTTGTGTCATTGGTCATAAGTCCTGAATATCCCATCAAGTTACTTCCCTTGAATTTCTAAACCTATCGCCTGACTGGATGACTGATTTGTTAAATCTGTTTTAATAAAGATATTACATTTCAAAGGCCTTTGGGAAAGAAATAGCTAGATGTTGCACATTTTTATTTTGCCGTCCATTGTGAGATTGCTTGCTTGCTTGTGATTAGGTTTCATTTTGGAAGTAAAGAACGAAATCTGTCCCATGATGATGAGAAATGTGAAGGAGACAATCTGCTTCACATTAACGAACATAGAGCCTATGTCTCTGACCTGTCACTTCTGTCCAGAAGAGAAATATGAAGATCCCGGCTAATGTCTCTTGGCTGGCTTGGAGCCACTAACTGTCCATCTTCGTTGCCTTGAACGGTGCAATTGTCATCTTGGTTGACACTTTAGTACGTGGTTCATCTATCCACGCGTCGAGCAACTTGAGTTTTGTAATGAAATCAGATTCTGCACTCTGAATGTATTGATAAATAAGTGTTAAGATGAAAGCTTCATGTTAAATTGATATATTACGGTTGACCCCATCTCTGCTAGCTTAAGCCGCAGGGTTACTCGCGTATTAAGCATTCCACTCAGCCATAGTGCATTCGTACAGTATGCGCCTGCATATGCACATAGATGCAACTTATGTAGATGGTTGTCATTTTCAGCTTTTCTCGAAAAAATTTTGACCCGTTGGGGACACATATGAGAGATTGAGGACGAGAATTTTGACAAGTATGAGCATTGTCTAGGTTTCAAATTAATTGTCGGGAGTCCTTTTGGATGTTAAATGCTGTTAAAAGTTCTGATTTGTGCCATTTTGTCAAAAGGGGGATTAAGACTTGAGAGGGTGGATCTTGAGATTTAATGTACAGCTTCCCATGAATCTCTGCTGTATTCACAGTGACTAGTCTTTACGCTTCCTTTGGCTCCAACAAAGTGTCCTGAGAAAGAGAGAAAGCTGGAGGGCAAAAGAAAGTTGATTGATTCTTGTGTTTGGTTCAGTGGGACATGAAGAATGTGCCCTTTTTTCTGCTTTTCCTCTAGCTCCTATTTGGAACCAAATGAGTTTGAAATAATTCGAACCATTCCTATCTTCCATATCATCAAGCTTTTGGAATTTGGTTTATAACATTTGCCTTGTCGTTTTCAGACAGGTTTAAGACTTGGGAAGAGTAAAACAAACCAAATAAAATGTCTTCAAGATCAAATTCATTCAAATATTTGTACTTGTATACAAGTTGCATGGCAAGTCATAACATGTCTTGTCTCTTTCATACAGATTTAAGACTTGGTAAGAGTTAATCAAACTGAAAAAAAATGTCTTAAAAATCACATTCATTCAAATATTTGTACTTGTATACAAGTTACATGACACATCATAACATCTGCCTTGTCGCTTAGACAGGTTTAAGACTTGGTAAGAGTTAATCAAATTGAACAAAATATCTTAAAAGACCACATTCATTCTAGTATTTGTACTTGTATACATATTGCATGCCACGTCACAATAGATAAATCTTGAGTATTGCGATTATGTCCGAATGCCGAATCCATAAGTCCATCTGAATTTATTCAAATAATAGAGAGGAGACTTGAAGGGCATTATTTCTCAGTCTCTTTCTACGTAAGAACGAATACCAGATGCTGCAGAACGTAAGCCAGATGTGGTTGATTTCGTCATTTGGGTCAGACCTAAACATAGCAACCTACTCAGGATCACCATGTTGCATCCAGCTTGCACTATTCCTGTAATGTCCAGGCCCAGCTGTGGGACGAAATCAAAGTCATCCAATCATGAAATTGGCAACGTAACATCACATCATGCAATAAACGACAACAGGAAAAAGAAAAACACAAGCAAAGCTACATTGCATACACTATTCATTGCCATGTTACATGACCCAAACGAGCAATAGGTCCATACAATACATATATGACAACATAGCCATTGATAAAGCAGAAGAAAAAAGTCTAAAACTCAGCTAGCCTACAAAAGGGCACAACACTGACTCACTCTCTAGATTCTGAGTTACCAATAACAAAGATGGATGCACAGCAATAATTTTGACCCTAATCAACCCAATATTCCTCCCACTTTACTTAAACCTCAAGACCCCACTATACAGCGATCCGAAATTTGAATTCGGAGCTGTATGCTCCTTCTTTTCACATGATGCAAACCGAACCGCAAGAACCGTTGATCTTACTATAGCTTCGAGTTTGACAAACTCGCGGAACATGTACATCACGAATTTGGGTTCCTAGTCCTACATGATGGAGCAAGCATTGGGATTTTCGTCGCTGAAGAGGGTCATGTAAGGGTCCTCGTGCCGGGTCACGGTGGCGCTAGGGGCGATGGGCTCGACCTTCCTCACATGGCCGGGAGGGGCCTTCTTGTCGTAGGACTGGGCGATGAAAGGCTGGTGAGCCACCACGCTGTAGGGTATGTACGGCCATATCTCCGCCTTCTTCCCCGTCGACTTGGCCCTCTTCAGCACCTTGCTCTGGTCAACGAACCCGGTCACCGTCACCTTCTGCTGCTTCCTGTTTATCTCCACTGACTTCACTCCTGCAATCACCATTGAACCATTCTATGTTAACAAATCATGTTCTTGAAAAACCTTCGCTCTCACTTTGGACAGTCATTTCTCTGGCCTTTTGGGATGCAAAATTCAGTTCAAATGAAGAAGCAAATGCTAAAAACAGAGAGCCTCCTGAAGTTTAAACCAAGTTAAAGGAAAGTACAGTCACTAAATTTGAATCTGGTTTTTATAGTCCTTTTTTAACCATATGTTCAAAAAGGACCAGATTGATTTGAACTCACCGTCTAAAGAAGAGAGGGCCTTCTTGACCTTGAGCACACAGCCATCACAGTCCATCCTCACCTTCAGCTCCACTGTCTGCAGTTGCTTCCTCTTCCTGTGCTTGTGTCCACTGCTCATCAAGTCAGACAAGTACTCCAAAGTCCCTGCAACACCCATCTCTCTCTCTCTTTCTCTGCTGAAGCTGAAAGCCTCGGACTAAAGAGAAGTTCTTCCAGGTACGGAGGAGTCTGGCAGGCCAAAGTTGATGAAGAAGAGAACAGGCGAGGATGTTGATGGGTTCTATAGGTCAAAGTGGTGGTGGGGATTTCAAAAAAGCCCCTTCGAGAGAAATCACAAAACAAGAACTTCCCTCCAAAAAGAATGCTTTTCTTGCCTTGCAACAAAACCAAGAAAAGAGTGCTTCAAAGGCTCTCTGTTCCCTTCTTTACTTGTCTACGAGTATGAGGATGTTCCTTGAGGCCGAGGCCACATTTATATAGGCTCTTCGGTGTACCCAAGCATTCTTGAGTGGGGACCCACAAACAGAAGTGAACGATGCATTATGGAACCTCGACATTTGCTAGACAATGCGGTCTTAAAATATTCATCAGCTCTTTAAACAATGTTCTGCTGAAAAGTGATTGCTACTAGTTTCATATGTAAGAAAGGTGGGCTTTGCTTACGGAGGAGGATTTTTTCACTTGGTATGTGTCCTTAGGAGGCAAGTAAGAATATAAGAAACGTGCCATTGGACCTTCTTGGACGATGCCCTCACGTTCTTTTCATCACATTCCCATGCTACTCGCCTTTTTCATCTTTGTTTTCCCTACTCGAATCCGGTTTTGGTATGGTTGTGGCGGAACTGTAAGGGCGTTGCAATAGCTTAGAAGGTAGGTGAAGTAGTTTCCTAAAAGTTACCGTGAGATATTTGTCGAATACTATACCAAAGGTATGATATCTATTTGGGAAATAGTTAAAATTGTTGCGATAGAAATTTCCTAACCTAAGACCATGGTACATGTCCAACGCTAATCGTGCAAGTTGTAGATAAGCAATGCCGGATGTGGTGGATCTGTTCATGAGAATGGAAAATATCACCAAAAATCATAAACTATGTCCAATGTGATATCGATACTCCAAACTTCTTTTTGTGTCACAAAAAACTCTAGAACTTTACCGATGTGACAAATATACCCTCTATCATAGTTCCATCAAAGACCGCCGTTAAACCTACGTGGCGGAAACTGAGCTAACATGAATCCGATGTTGTTTAGTGAAAGCCAAACCAGCATCATTTTTCCATGAAAAAATCTAACGAAAAATCTAATGCGGGTGAAACTGATGTGACAGCATACGTGGGCAACAAGAGGCAAACGAGCCGAGGTCACTTCAGTGAAGCCAACGACGTCGTTTTAGCTTCACTAAAGCCACATCGAATCCACGTCAGCTCGTCCGCCTGCCGTCGCACCCACCCAACGTAAGCCACCACCGGGATTTTTTTAAAGATTGTCTCCAAACGAAACCGTGACGGAGGATGCTGCTGTCGTTACACCGGTACAAGCTTAGGGGTTTTTCGGGTACCAGTGTCGTAGTTGGCATAATTTAGCTATTCTACCGTATCCGAACGTATGCAATGAATTGTCAGATTGCAATTAATTTTTCATATTTCCCTCCTCCTCCTCCCCCTCCCCCTCCATTCTTATCCCTTCAAAGTCAAAAAGAAGGAAAAGCTGGGAGACAGAGGAGGAGTAGGTTTCTGGAGCAACGTTCATGGAAAGAGACTTGCTGCCCAATCTCCTCTGCACTAATAATAATAATGGAGGGCGCCCTCCTCCTCCTCCCTCTCCTTCCGCTGTTGATGCAAAGCTGCATGCACGGACACTAATTTATTCTCGTACTTTTTTTGAAAAAAAGGAGGGAAAGCGACGCCGGCCAAAAAGGCCTTCTTCCTCCAAAGGCAAAGAGAAAACGCTCCACCGGGCTGCGATGCGCGGGCGGCGCGCCACGTGGACCGGATCGACGGTGGAGATTGCTCGTGGGTGGGGGAGGGAGGCCGAGTTGGGAGTAGCTGTCTCTGTCTCCCCTCTCCCTCCGATGGGCTTGGGTTTTAGTTCCGAACGAGTCGGTGGGTCGCCCCATGGGAAGCTCAAGGCCAAATATATATATATATATAAGAAAGATTTACCAAAAGGGTCCTCAGGTATTGCACTTCTATTTCAATCCTTCAAACCTTTTAGACTGTGCCGATAGAGTCCTAGACATTTTTCATATTTTGCTAATTGAATCAATTTTGATCGAAAATCATTGACGTGTACTCCGATCGTCCTATGTGGCACTGCTAGTACTGACGTGGATAATTTTTTTATTTTTTCGAATTTTATTTTATTTCCATTCTTTTTTCCCTTTTTTTTTTATTTTCTTCTCTTTTCCTTCTTTTCTTTCTTTTTTTTTGGTTACCGTGGGCGGCGAGGGTCGCTGGGCCCTCGCTGCCCACTGGGGGAGGGCAGCGACGCCCTCGCCGGCCGCTTGCGAGGGCCACGACATCCATGCCCAACCTTGCTTAGGTATGGGCAGGGCCACCTTGCTCAGATTTGGGAGAAGCCATGGTGAGACTGGCCTCGCCCAGATCTGGACAAGGCTGCCTTGCCCGCTGCCTGCGAGGCTGGACAGTAAAAATAAAGTAAAGAAGGAAAAGAGAAGAAAAGAAAAAGGAATCGAAAAAAATATTAAAATATTATTAAGAATTGTCTACATCAGTGCCGGCCGTGCCACGCAGGACGGCCGGCGTCCACATCGGTGATTTCCGGCCAAATTTGGCCGGATGAACTCAATTGGCAAAACATAAAAAAAGTTATGACTTAATCAGCACAAGTGCGATAGATTTAATACTTTTTAGTAATTTTCCCCAATGTGCAGACGAAGCATGTTCTCAAGCGCACATATCCAACTATCAAGAAATCCATGAGTTGCGTTCGGGTCTTTAGGTCTTTACATATGACCCTAACCCAAACCGATTTACATGTAATTTATGTGATTTGAACAGACAACATATCATTCGACCCAAAAAAAAAAAAAACAAGACAGCATCCAGTTTCCAAGATGAAAATGCCGGATGCATCAACCCTGGAGGTCGAGCATGCAATTCAGTGATTATTTGGAACATGGAAGAACGGGAGAATGGAGAAGTAAAGGTCGATAACGAATCTAAATTCAACTTCTGTGAAAAAAAACCTATGAATCGCATTGTAATAATTTCAACTATCTCTAGTTACAACTTAATCGGCGAATTTGTAAAAAGTTCACAAGGGCCTCTTTATGGAAGATGTAGGGAAAAATTCTAGGTTTGGAATTCTCCTAATGGAGATTATTTGGCATGGACGGGTCAAGTATATATTATTCCGTTTTGCATAGAAAGAAGTATAAGAACATTACATAAAAATAAAGGGGCTTGAAACCCTTTCCATTCTTGTTATTATATTGCTTCAAGGTTCAACATTCGTGTCCAGTCCATCAACTTTCTTGGTGGGGATTTGCCAAACCAAAACAGCTGGAATATTAAATTTTGTCAACGTCTCTTTAGTTTGAAATTTGAAGCTTCCTAGCCTCCTCCTAAAGTTTTACATATATTCTCTTCTGTTCTTTTCAAGTGTGCATTAACATGCATGTGGGCCCTTATATAATGCGTTATATTCACCCAGAGCAAGTATTGCATTCTTTCGATATATGTAGGCTCGCTTCATCCAAATCATCGGGTCATGCGAGTCTCACATGAGACCCACACTATTTAATTATTGAGATGGAGTAAGCTCATATGCTCCGGGTGCATACAAGAGTTTATCAGTCCATACTTGTCCTGGCGGACAGCGGAAATTGACCGTGAAAAGAACGGAAGAGGAGAGTCGAAACCCACGACATAACGAGTGAAAGGGGAGCTCGGGGTACTTACCTATGATCTTAATTAGCTGAGATCGCATTGAGTAAAATAGTAATTAGATGTTGAATGTTAAGTCATCCTTTGGGCAGAGAACAAGAGCTTTTGCTTATAAGTTGAAGAGACCAATTAAAATGTGTGGGTGATTATTGGAGTTGTAGGTTTTGTCGCCTGGCTGAGTCTTAGGTGTATATCTCTTCACGTCCAATAATATATTTTTTATTTATTTTATAAGATAAGAAAAATATATGAATGTGTAATTGTCACGTAGCTGTCGTTGCATGGTGGACCCCCCACCAGTTACCACCATTATTTGCAGGAGAAAAATATATATAATAATTAATATTTTTAATGAATTAATAATTATCCACCGAACCCACCACTCCATCTAATAAGCTTTCCATTTTCAATTAGTAAAGAAGAAAAAATCTTGCAAGTTTATAATTTAAAATGAAATCACATCCTTGATTTAACTTGACATACGTAGAAACTGTTTAATAAGTGTGGGGCATAATGCCCTAGAAAAGGACATGATATAAATGCTTTTAATACGATAAAATCGTCAATAAAATAAGTTTGCCTCCACCACACACTTCGCAGTACAATAATCTACATATCGTAGTCAATAAAAATTACATAAGCCTTACAGTAGGGATGCGAGGCGGCAATCTGCGCAGCCTTGCGGGATTCGATCAATCCATTTTTAACATTTATATCACCTAATTCCAAAATTTTTATTGTACTGTTTAGTTTCAAGATTCTACACTTTGCACCCTGAAATTTAAAAAAGTAAGCATTTTACACATTTATATATATATATATAATATATATGTGTGTGTGTGTGTGTTATGTGATTTTTCCGTACTTTGAGGTGTAAATTGCATGCTTTTCAATACCTTGAAATGCAAAATATAATTTTTTTGAAAAGTGAAAAGGGGGGAAGCTCAGAAATAAGAGAAAGTTGAGGTAATTCCAATTCAAATTAGTTTATCCAAAAAGAGAAAACGACAGGCACAATTTGAGAAAATGTTTTGTGCATCGGATGCATCACGCGACAGTGGCACGTAGAAAAACGAGTTAAACATAAATAAAGTTTCAAAACTTAAAAGTACAAGTTATTTAAGATGGATATCCGATGATTATTTCAATCAATTCGACTATGTATAATATTAACTGTGTAATTGACCGATACATAAAATATTTTTCCCCCTTTTTATAGAACTAAACCGTGGGCGAGATCAGTGAGAGGGTTATCTTCTTGTGATTGATTCAAAAGTGCAGAGGCTATCCATAAGCTTCAGCTTCACCTGCTACGACAGTGAATTCATGCTGCTCCTCTCTATTGTACTTTTACTCAGATTGGGCAAATATCAGACATCAATGAGATTTTGCAGATCTTCAGCAACCAAAGTGGAATTCCAAAGTGAATTTTTGCAATCACGCAACACCCAACTTGTACAGTGACCATCTTATTCTTTTACCTTTTTCCCATCAATCTTTTATTATTGTCTTTTTTGATGATGATTCAATTCGATACTATCGTTGAAACAATGATGGTCGCAAAAACGTCGGGATTGAGTTTAGTCGTGTTTGTGCCAACCTAGTTGTTTGTTCTGATATAATGAAAACTCATGAAGTGAGCAGGTTGATTTAACCCGTTTACATGTACTTGTTTGAGCATGCTTAATTGAATATATTTTGACAAGTTAACTGCATCATCGTACACATTTTAAGGCACATTTAAACTCATGTATAAGTATCTATACCGATTTCTATTTACTTAAAATACGAAATGTCATTTCTTAAATATATTCGACATGTCGTGCTATGTATATCTATTCAACGAAGGTATGGTACATTTAAATTTCAATGTTTTGACACAACTGATGATGTGCCCTATTCTAGTTAGACATAATTCGATTAACAACGAATTAATTATTAACCCTACATATAAAACCCATGAAATTTCCATCAATGAAGGACTTAATCATGAATCTTTTTCAAGATAGTTCAATATCCAACGGTTAAAGAGTTGCCAAATAGTCGATTTTTTTTCTAATAAATAGTAAATTGCTCATAGTCGAGTCAAATCAATGTGCTGCATATGGTAAGTTACCATATACAGGCTATATCAACTTTATTTGATGGTATCTTTGTTCCAAAATTAACATTGGAAAAGATCGATTTAAGCTTTCCAGAATCATATTGGCAGTCCTAAAATTCAGTGAACCTGCACCAAGTACAAGTACAAGACACGTGATTGTGAGTAAAATTGGGAAGATACAACACCTTTCCAGCTGGAGCTAGCTGATGTATATTTCTCTGAGTATAATGTAAGGTTGATTTATGGCAGTTAAATTCAGCATTCCCAAAGTGATTTGAAGCACTCCCTACTTACAATTTCTACTCCATTATTATTATTTATTCTTATCACTATCTCTTTATCAGCCAAATCGAAGTACCATAATGTATAAGTCCTACAATACAAATAATCAAGAATATGTCACTACATCAGCCTGTACGATATATGATGTAGATTGTTTTCGTCATTGGAACAAAATATTTAAGACTAACATCATTAAAATTGGAAAAAAAAGAAAGAAATTCCAAATGTCTAGACAATCTAAAGAAAGCGAAAATTAGAAAAAGCATACAAGAGTAAAAGTTGTCACTCTATGTCACAATGGGTACAAAAGGAGGCTGCTCTAACCATGCTTTATCTTTTGTCCATTGAGTACATAAATAGAATGGAAATAGAGTGATGCAAGAGTAAGATGCATGCACCCTTTTAACATGTCATCTTGCTTCATTATTCATGTTTCTCCAATTTTTTCACAAAAATTTTATGCAATCATACTTTTGATTGATAGATTACGAATTTATAAGTTATGTACATCATCTACATGGAAACTCAGCTCAATATAAAATGAGTGATGTTTAGGTTTATAACTTTTCAATTAAAAGACTAATTTTCTCCTATCGGGAATTAAGAAAAAATATATAATCTGAGCTATCAATCAGGCCAGACCTTGTTGTTCCTACTCTTTAGCTCCAGCAATAAGTTATGTGGAGTTTTTGTCAACTCAGTACTTCATGCTAGCATTTCATATTTGAAATTTGCCAAACCACTACAATGATATCAAAAGATTGACTTGTAGTAGGCAATTATGGTCCATCATCTAAACCGAGTATAAAAAAATAAATGTTGGATCCTTAAATTTGATGATATTGGAATGACTCCACAAAGTTATTTGGATTTTAATTTAAGTCAAAGTCTACGCTTGTAGAAAGGAAAAGGTGTTTTAAATTGAAGATAACTTACGAATTCAGGGTATAATAATGTACTTAGAGAGTGTTGAGAGATAAGATTTCTCTAACATACTATACGCATACATAATGTATCTGACTTGTCTGACCGATTTTTACATGTATAAATCTAACAAGATGTAATAACTCCGAATAGACCAATTCAAAATTGACAATCTCCACTAACAACCCCATTCTCATGTGATGTTGCGGTCTGGAATTCCAATGCGTTATTTGTTGGGACGTGGAACAAAATCTCAATACCTTACTTTCCAAAAATCATCAATAGAGAGCTAAAATCTCGATACCTTACTTTCATTTGAAAGTTCAAGCCAATGAATTGCAACCGCCCGATACGTTAACTATTCCATATCATATCAATTCTCTATTGTATGATTCTTTCGCCTAACATCCTAACAAGTGTACCTCAACATTATTGTCTCCCACTACTCCTGTCAGAAATATCGCCAGTAAGAGCAAATTCTAAAACCGCGATGACATCTGCACCGGAATAGCTATTTGGCTTGTTAATGATAACAAGCCACGTTTTTCGTGACGTGATCGTGTCATGTCAAATTATTATCTACCCTCGTTCGGTGCGGTCGAATTTCCGACTTAAGAATTTTAGAGCGACAAAAGAAAAAGGTTGGTGAGGAGTGTGACGACGGTGCCTTTTGGCAACTTCTACAGCTGCTTTCCATCAACAAAGAGAGCACAAAATAATATTCTCCCCCACTGCAACTTTGTTTCTACTTCAATACGTGCAATGCCCAAAAGTAAAACCACGAGGAAGATCAATATTCCCACAACACTTTTCAGTGCGCATTGCTCTTTTGTGCTTGGAGGCTTGTGTGTCTTATACAAAAGGCAAAAAAGCTTTTTGGAAATGGCGTCGATTTCTAGTAAGTGTTGGATCGGTGCCCCTTCTTCAATCAAGTAGTGCACTTCCCTCTTTGCGACCCAATAATTGCTCACCTTATAGCATTATAGCATACACTTTGATGCATGCATTGTATAATGTAAGTAGATTGACAAAGAATAAAGCCTGAAACTAGGACGTGAGTAGTAGGAAACCAAACTGGCAAAGCGATTGCTCGTAAAGTTTATTTCGACCCGTAATCTGAACATCATCGTATATTAATCATAATCGAATGAGCCCATCGAGCCAGATTGTACTCGTATATTTGGTGATCGATAATTACAGGAAAAAGGCCCGAAGGACTTCAAGTCTCGAGGGATGGCACGAAGCACCGAGATCCACCATTCGGAAACGACGTTTGGGTTCTCTTCCTATAGTACCCTTCCTATAGTACCGATGATAATGTACAAGAATCGAGAAGTGGACGAGGGCACATTTTGTAGTTGGGACGAGGCAACGGAGTGGTGCTAGACCAAGTGCCGAAACCGAGCTCCTGAATTTAACATCAACTTACCGTCCATGCTGCTTGTATCCTTGGATACATTCCCCAAGGGGCTTTGTAGGCAGAAAGCCCATTAAACGCACCATTTATGGAGGGTTTGAGCTTTTGGGAACTGGAGCGATGGGAATTCTGACGCTAGGGTTTGTGCTTGGTATTTTCTGATGGGAGGGCAACTTAGTCTCTTTGCCATCATAATGGAGTTTTTGTCTGAGAAATCACGAGACGGTATCTGACAAAGTTGTGATGACATCCTGCGCACAACAGCAGACTCGACGAAAAATTTAAAAACCATAATCCGGCTGTCTCTTGCTACTGCCCCACCGAACACAGTCAAGCAAATGATTAGAATGTGGGTCAACCAGTCATACTGTTCTCCAACCACCATTACCATTTTTCTTCAGCTCCTGCCTCCTCCTGACAGACTGAGCACGACTTGAGTCCCTCAACAGACGTAGAATAAAACCACGGTCGGTCCAAAATATAGCGAATGAGGACAAAATGCAAGGCACGGGAGATGGAAGAAGACACAGGAATATTTATAAGACATGACAAAATATACAATAACACCATCAACCACAAGCCCAGAAGAAACCACAAAAACCTGACAGGCGATGGTTGACACGGACAAGCTCCCCCCATCCCGACTACTCCCTTACAAAACTGAGGAAAATTTACATGTAAGATCCCCCCATCATCAGCGAAGTGAGCTTTGGCATATGAGCGAAAAAGGTTCGTTTATGTGCCGGAAAGTGGCAAGAAAGTGCACAAGCAGCAAAAGCGGCATTAAACTGATTAAACTTAAGTGGGATGATATGAGCTTCTGTGAAGCAGCCGATGGTTTGGAGAGCGCTCTCCCAGCCACAGCAGGCGCCACCGCATGCCCTCCAGGAGCGCTCTGTTGCTCGGTTGTGGGTAACGGGTTGGGGGATCTGCCATTTGGTGTTAGAGGCATACTCCGATCGTCATCTAAATCTTGGCCTGCGCAAATTCCAATGGATTTTATGCAAGTTTTAAGTAATAATATATCTAAGCAGCGCAAACCTAACCAGCAAGAATGTGGAATTTAACAGAAGTATCACATTGTACAAGGAAAAGAGGGGCAGCGAAAAGAAGACTTGAGGTTACCACTGGTAGTAGCAACACATGCTAGGCAAACGAGTAATGAGGCAGGTAATTAACTAAAGATGATGAATGAGAAAAGCCCGAGAACTCACAGTTTGAGCGTGACCAGCCTAACTTTAAATTTTCCCGGTCAAACACCATGCGGTATCCCATCATAAAGTTCTCTGCATGGAAACATGATAAGAACATTACAGCATGTAAAGAATGAGAAAGAGTAGCATGAGTAGAGGGAACACTAACGTCCAATTGTTCCGATATCTCCATCAGTTGGCTGTATTGCTAAACAGAATCCCGCCAACCCCTGGAACCCAAAGAAACAACCGGATTTAAGATCTTGTCTCCACAGAAACCAAGAACTGCAGTTCAGCTGTAAGGAGATGATCAGGCACTCTGTATATGCAAGATACACACAAACTGAAATACTAATTTTGCGACCATTGTCCTTTACTAATACATTTCACCATCCACGCCTCCAATAGGCATCATTTTAGCAACCATTGTTGTTTATCCCAAATAGATTTCTCAAAGGACTATCAATCTCACATTTTCAATATGGAAATTTGCAAACGAGTAGAGGAATTTGACGAGTGACTATTACAAAAAGATTATAGTTTTTAATGCATTAACTATACCAATGTAATCAGCATTTTGAAAATTAAAACTTTCTTTGTCCAATATACTTAACGAATGCCACTGAGGCGTTTGTTAACAAGACCCCTTCAATATTTTGAATTGTTCTCCTTGCATACTACCAAAAAAAAATCCTACATCCATCAAGACACATAACCAGCCTTCTTCCTACAGAAAGGCGAGGTAACCAGTAAACCACGAAGTGAATTATGATGAATGAACATCAACTCTTTGGAGTGTACGTCAAGACTCTCATGAGTGAACTTGGTGTTGCAGAAAGTAAAGCCCTAATTGATCAGACACCGACTTTCACCTCACATGCCTAAACTTATTTGATGAACATAATTTTTTATTGGCCTTGTTCAATGGACAAGCGATATATTGCAAATCTAGTTCAGACGGCCTACCATCACGAAAATCAAACAATACATACCTCCATGCCATAGACCTTGAAAACAGGGTCATAGACAACAAAGCTGTTGTTTAGTGGAAAAACAAGTGTGAGAGAGGGAACTTTCGCCTTCTCCTTTGTACTGTCGAAACAAGTAGAATGTCAATTTACAGAAACATACTCAAGAGGGGAGCAGCAGCATTTACAACGCATCCTCAAGCACATTCACCTGGGTTTGTAGCAATACTTCCAAGGATATCCTTCAATGCTAGAGTGAGTTGCATTCACTCGTCTGTCAAACTATTAAAAGACATTGAAATTACATATTGAACTTCCCACAACCACACAGAAAGAGTATTGATGTAACGTACCTCTTGGGTAATTGTTTCAAAAACTCCATTGGGAAGAAATGTGAATGACGTGCCACTATCTACCAGAGCACTGAAACTTGTTTGCTTAAGACAAGAGTTTCCAATGCAACATGCCTCGACCCCAACAATGTATGTCTCACTGAACCAATATGATGAGTTAATCATGAGAAACATCACAAACTAAACATCAACATTATATCATGTCCTGAAGTGTACATTATGTACTAGCAAAACATCAAAAGAGGATTCTATAACGCACTATTTTCCATTTGAAGGTAGAAAAGCTGTATATTTCTGGTTGGCTGGACCCTGGTCACCAAAGAATATCGTCCCAGAATCATCTTCAACAAAGCACAACGAAAATGAGTTGGGAACCAATCCTCCTTTAGCAAGAAAAGATGGAACAGAAATTTCTCCAAGCCCCAACCCCATCAGACCATCAGGAGCAACACCATCCAAGTAACCCCCACTCTGTTTCATACCACATCTGAGTACAAAAGCATGTGAAAAAACAATGTCATAATTGATTAGGCCATGCCAGAGTCACATATAATTGCTACCAGAAACAGTGCAAACATTAATAGAAAGAGAAAAGGAGCTGCTAAAAGAGGAAAATCGGCAAAAGAAACACACCCCATAATGACTGGAGCCGATACAGAACTATTTGATGCCCGGCCACTGCCTGAGGCAAGATGCAGTATATCTTCCACCAGTAATCCAGAAGTTGATGTATTCTCAGAGTAGTAGTTAACAATGTATGGACATGATTCTCCAGGACTTTTACAGCTTGGGCCCAGTTTACATAGCTGATGGCTGCAAGTTATGTGCTTGCTACTGTTGGAACCAGATGGATTGTATTCATTCAGATCTCTATCCTGCACAATAGATTGCCCCAAATACAAGGGAGCACCTGCCAATCAATCATCGGAAATAAGTGCTAAAACTGTTACGAACTTAAGACTGGAACTTCACTATCTCATGACTCCACGAAAGCAAATGCTAAACAGAGAACCACACAAATAGCACTGCTTGTGGCTGGTGAGCTGTCACATGTATTAACTACATAGCCGTCATGCTTCTGAAATCAAAGTTTGCCTAATAATAGAATAAGACCCCGTAAAGTCTACGTTTTTCTCCTTCCTATGTTCTGGATACATTCTTCTAATTACGTCCAACTATCTTGAGTTTATAAGTATCATTGTAAAATTAAAAGGGTTCCGATACTCAATCCTTCACCGGAAGTTTATATCTTACCTCAACAGTACGGAGAGCTGCTTCCTAACTACTTTCAAGAACTTGTTCTTTTCCTAATGTAAAACCTACTACGCAAGGGCAAAGCAATTACTACAAAGAGAAAACCGTAGTCTTTCCTGATAAGTATTATTCACAGATACTGCAAACAAAATAAGGACATGCTGACATCTGCACAGGATATAATTCGCATAACGCCTACACCAATAATAACCATAAAGACCAAGAATTAATAGAGAAAGCACAAGCCGAAAACAAGCCAAAGACAGCAGCGGGAAATAAATGTATCGTGCTAGAATTAGAATACAGTAAGGGGAAGAACTACCAGACTGCTATAGTGGCTGGCGGACAGAGGAGCACACTGTACACATTCACAGGGAAGCCAAAGAAGATCACTCCCAGCATCCAATGCAACAAGGAAAGAAACACTTGGACTACCTACGTCGATCCAAGAGTAGTGTAGCCTGAAAATCACAAGCTACACTGAGATGCATGAACAATAAGGGTCACAAGGGACTGTCTCATCTGAGACTGATATAGATCACATTAAGTGGCTACATGAGCGTTTAGTGCTCAGGATATAAAGGAGGGGCAACATAAGAACGGGCGCAGGCAGGTTAAGCATCTGCTTAAATACCAGAGTTCAACAGGAAAATCAACAGCCGATATCAACACGGGCATTTTTCAAATTGTGAAATCCTTCAGACTGGCATTCTCAATTTGTCTTCTTTGTTCCTAAATCCTCATGCTATGCTACGTGTCTTGCAATCTAATTCTCATAATTTGATGCGCCCGTACGTTTCCCAGAAAAATTTCCAGAGCAGGAGTTTGGAGAAAGTTTTGTAATTGAAAGATTCATAGCTATTAAATTAACAAGCTATTCAATGTCTCATCTCCCTTCCCCTTTTTGGTCCCTGAAAAGCAAATCTATCCCAAAATAATCTCTCAGTCCGGAGATTCCGAAACCCATATAGACAAATTAGGATTAGCATAAAAGGAAGCTAATCCAAGAATCAGAGGATTAGCCAATGAGCCAAAAGTGCTGTTCAAATTAAACCGATGCTGTCACCTTATAATAATGCCCAAGGAGTTAAATATATATACGGCCACAACCATGGTCCATTGACTGGGTCATCTCGTAGAGCAGACCAAATGAGTCAACAACACAAGGAAAGCTAAAGGCTACACACAATCACAAGCGGAGAAAGAGACGTTCCTCCACAAAAAAAGAAGGAAAAAATAATAACGGAAATTCAAATAGAAGGGCGTGCGAATCTGACCATCCGAATTCATTCCCGAGCCACATCGTCTGACTCCCTTCGGAAGGGAAGAGCAACTGGTAGTGAGTGCCGAGCTTCATGTTCTGCCTCCGGAAGTCGCTCGCCACGAGGACCTGGTAGTACTCCACGCTCCTCTTCTCCGGCCACTGGCCTGCGGCGCTGGCGTTCGACGGGACCGCCCCGCCGCCGCCGCCGGGGTCCCGCAGCGCCCTCACCTCGTCGGAGAACCGGTGGATCAGCCGCGAGGAGAAGGTGACCGCGGCCGCCCCCTCGGCGGCGAGGCAGGACAGCAGGAGCGACACCGGCAGCAGCAAGAGAAGGGCCGCCATTGCGGGCGGCGACGCCGGGGCGCGGCGGCGATCGGACGCCGGCGTGGGGCACGAGATCTAGGGTTTCTCGAGCTGGATGCGCGCGCGCGCGCGCGAATGCTGGCAATGGGGGAATCTAGAGAGAGAGAGAGAGAGAGAGAGAGAGAGAGATGATGATGATGCACTGAAGGTGGTGTAAAGGTGGGAGCTTTGCGAGCGAGTGAGCAGATGGAAGAAGACGAAGGAGACGAAGGAAGGTGGACGGGGGGGGTGCGCAGTGCGCACCGTTGGGAGCTGGGTCCGTGAGCGCCGCGCGTGTTTTTGGCATCGGAATGCGCGCCTCCCCCTCCCCAACCACGTGGATTTTTTCCTTATTTATTTATTTATTATTCAACGGTAATTAATTTAACGGGATTTCTTATAATCCCGGAGGAGGGTGTGTGATTAGGGACTAGGGTGGGAGGGCAGTAGGGGCAATTCGGTCAAATCGCGGGCACGAGGGGGCCGACGCTGTGGGGAAGCGAAGCGAAGCGACACGTGGGTGGTCCCCCCCGTCCGTTGCTTTACGTGTCCGATGTAATTCGAAGAAAAAAAGGAAAAATGACACCCACGATCCCTCAATTTTGAGCTAACGTGTAATATGATTCATGAATTTTTAGTTTATTCAATATGATTACTGGACTTTAGCTCGTTATGCAATGTGGCTCCTGAACTTTGAATTTGTTCAATGTCGTCCCCGAACTTTTTGGTACATGTTCGATTTAGCCCATGAGCTATATGAAAATGTTTAATGTGGTCTTTTCGTTGATTCTAGTTTAGGGACTATATTCATCATTTTAATATAGTTCAAGGACTGATTGAATATTTACCAAAAGTTTAGAGACCACATTAATATTAAGTTAAAATTCAGGGACTACATTGAACAAATCAAAAGTTTAAGGACTGCATTGCACATTTGGTCAAAGTTTAGGGACTGCCTGTGTCATTATCCATTCAAAAAAATATGGCCTTACCCTCAGCTGTATAAGTGCTTATTATTGAGTGTTTTTGCCTGGGGCGAGTATGGGTCCTAGGTAGAATCGGGAATCGATCCTAAAAATTGGTCCGATTCTTGGTTTCAAGACTTCTCGGTTCGATTCCCTGTTCCAAATTTTTTGGAATCGGTACTACGCGATCCGACTCCCAGTTCCCAAGTAGGAACCTTTGAATTGAAGAATCAGACTGAGAACCAACTAGAGAACCGTACCGAACCGAGATAACTCTAAAACTAGTAACATCTATAGATCTTTTCAACAATTTTTATACTAGTAATATCAAACTTTCAGAATTTGGAACATCATTTAATTACTAATGTTATTCAATATATTTGTCAGGTTGGCTTCTTCTTAGTTGGGTGGGGCGGGTTCGACCAGAAATGCTATGCGTACACACACAAGACTGCCTTTACTATGATTAGTTTTAAACTTGCTCTGCTGCAGGTGAAAGATATCCATTGGAAACCTGCAACATATGTGTGTTCATTGTAGGAGAAACCTAGTGTACTATGAACTTTGGAAACCTCAAATTAACTAATTATTACTCTTTTAAATATGTTTCTAGTTTACTCTTGAATCAATCATTGTCATTTACTCCACATGACAACATAATACGACTTCCCTTTTTAGGTTTGATTTATCACTTTGCTTTTAAATGGTTCCGTTTAGGATAGGCTGTCTTGTTGATGAAACTCTATCTATTTGAAGAGAAATTTTTGTTGTTGCTTGACAAAAAATGAAGCAAAGTAAAAAATAGAAAATGAAACAAAAAAAGGAATTGTTTCGTTCGTGAGTAGACCATAAAACCGCAAGTTTGGTTCCAGAATATACATGGTAGGTTTCAGATTCTAAAAATTAGAAACTGATCATAATAGGGTTGGTTCCAGAATTCAGGTGGAACCTAGACCTACTCTAGAACCGTTCACCCCTAATTTTTGCTTCAAATGGTCACAGGTTCAAATTCCACAAACCTAAAGATTGAGCTTCGCAAGAGGATGTGAAATATATGTAGAAACATCTCGGGAAGGTGGGTATCGCAATCGCTATTTCTCGCTGCTTTTCTCTAATGGAAAAGTACGATATTTGAATTAGATGTAAGCGGGGTATTGATTAGAGTTCGCCATGTCGAGAAATGATTTCGCGCAATTGCGTTGATGCTCAATTATAGCATTGAGGACTATAACATGAATAGCTATAAAATCATAATTATTAAAATTGCACGTGCTTCTTTCCTCTCCTTCACTATATTCGTGTTAGATAACATTAATTGTAACAAAATATACTTTTACACTATAAATCATAATACTTAAAATAATGATCTTAAATAGCAATGCAGTCATTTAATAATTGTATTCATATGATGCATTATGATTGACTCTATAATTAATTGTAACAATGAATTTATTACTAATTAATGCAAGGTTGCTCAAATAGCTTAATATTAATTGGCGATATACTTATGCATACTGATGTCAATTACAATAGTATTCATATTATAATAATTAGTATAGTGATTCATTCATTAACTGAATATTAAATATAACCTAATATAAATGTTATTTATAATACAATATCATCATCTCGATTAGTTTAATTAATCTTTTTATGTCGTTATATAAGATTTGGTAATTTTATATATGATCACATAACGAAAACCCGTGCATTCATTGGTGGAATGTCTTGATTTCCAACAAATATGAAATATAATTTAAATATATCTCAAGTGATATTAAAACCTTTAATATATTTAAAATTGACAGAAAATTTTCATTTTGATTTTCAATTGAGAAATGAATTTTCTATTAATATTTAATATTAAGAATTTAACATTTTATTTTTTACAGGATTGTTATGAATAATTTTATTTTTTCATTGGATAAGGATTTTCATTTTTTAGCCAAATTTTAATTGACATTTGCAAATTTTTCATTTATATTTTCGTTGCTTGGGAATAATTTCATATTTCGCATTTTGACATTGAAGTATTTTCTTTTGGATTTTTTCATTATTTTATCCTCGTTCATCTAATTGGTAGACTTCTAGATTATCTTTTATACTTTCATCCTAAACAATTTGCCAAATGGCAAATTTCAATGCATCTCTCTTAAGCCTCTCTCTTACTATATTGGTATAGATAGATAATGAAACCATAGTATAATATTATCTAATTATGATAAGTTATAGATATATGACTACATAGATTTTACAGTACAGCAAGTGACAAGATTACTTTGAGGACCACTCTCATGCCATAGGAACATGAAGTGTTCTTGCATTACATGAGTACAAAACATTGACATTTAAAAAAATCATAATATTTTTGGAATATTAATTAATGGGAACAAATTTTTAACACAATATGAAGAAATTGTTTACATATAAGTGGAAAGAGAAAAATATTTCTCGATTGATATGAAAATGAAAACTAATATGGTATCGATTGACTTGACTAGTTTATATGCAACATCTCCCCGCCGTGTGCACTTAAGAATCTATCTATCGGATTTTGTACATGTGCCATAATCACAATCCGCTTTTGAAAAGAAAATTTTCCATTGCCGATATATGCTATGAAGGCTCAGGAAAATATCACCGCAAATTTAATATGAATTCGAAATATGTGGATAAAATTTGTCAGTATTATCCATAAGTAAATGTTTGGTGAGAAAGTAATAATATACCATATTAGGTTTTCAGCTATTATCGAATACTTAAATTTCCAATTTTAATACTTGAGATTAAGTATTTGAATGTGCAGAACTTATTGTTTCATTTTTCCATCAAGTGAGCTCCATGTCCCAAGTGATGGCCCATAAGCCTGTTTTTACTAGATCAGTAGAAACTGCTGTCCTTGTGTACGAGTCGTGAAATGCAGGTATATCTAAGGCCAATGAAGCGATAGGATGATTCCCTAGTCAAATGGGACCTCAAGAACATGAATTTTCTCAATCTTTGCATCATCTGATTTAGACACTACACATTTTCGAAACAACGATGACTTCGGTCTTGCAAACAGTCTCGAAGTAGTCGTGGAAACACAAGATTTGCAGGACCCTGGATTATCTGAGAATATCATCGACAAGTACGACAAGAAGCAACCTCGTTATATACCGGTCCCTTAGACGAGCATCGTTGAGATATACAAGTACATATGGTTTATTATCTCCTTCGCTTAACGGGCAATCGATCCTTCTGTCCATTATGTTCACCCAGAAAGGAAGAAAGAATACATCAAGTTACAAAAGAATACATTGACTTGTCTTGACTATGTTACACAGAAACAATCACTAGCAAAACTCTGAAAAAAGGCCCCCACTCCAGCAACGTATATACAATGACATTATAAGTACTCCAGACAAAACTCTTACGTAAAAGAATTCCTTTCTCAAACACGGGTCCTCTCCAAGATTCGCTTCGGAGAAGAATGATAAGTTCCGAGATGTAACATCACTTGTTCGACCACTGGAACTCGATCTCCAAATTCCTTGAGGGGCCGCTTTTGCTCTCCGGCAATAAAGTGTATTCCCCAGCAACAGCCCCCAGCATCACGACCCGATCAATCTGAATTGTCACTTTCCCAAAAGAACTCTGCATCGAGACACAGAACAACGGCCATGAGTAATTAGCAACTGAATAAGGATTGAGACCTTTTCACATTCCTGTCATTAGAGATGGCAGCCACAATTAAGTTACCTTTCCCATTTTGCTTTTGTTCTTGCAGGAAATATGAAGCTTCTGGCCTTTGGGAGGACTTTCAAAGGACCATGAGAAGCTCTCTTCCCACTCTGGATTTGGACCAGTGGAAACAACCTGGTTACAAAGAAGATATTTGCAAGGATACCCAATTAGCACCAGTAAAAAAACTGAGGCGTCAATAAAAAAAGGCAATTGACTAATGAAGGAATTTTAGACAGAAGAATTGGAAGAGAGAACTTGATATCCTGGAAGGAGGAAAAGGTATAGCTTATATTTAGGAACTTAACAATTTCACAGTTCCATGACCAGTGAAAATGGAAAATGATTTTATTGATTTTCCAAGTCATTTAGGCAGTAGTTAAACATATTAAATGGCATCCCAAATCGCAGCAGTAGTTAACAGTTAAATGGCATCCCAAATTGCACGCATTATGCTTAGGTCGAAGACCAAAAACATTTTCCCATTATACAAGAGTGATTTCAAATGTCAAGTGCCAGCTCAAGGTTAGCATGACAAAAACCCAAGCTTATACAGTTAAAAGTAAAAAAATGGCAGAGGTTCATCGAGATTTTGTTTTGAAGGACTTAGGGCTCATACTGTAAGGTGGCTAGGAGTATTGTCATATGGCTAAACAATTCTAATTGGACTTGCAGCTTCCACCCAAACTGCTCACAAGGTAGTTGGTAGTTTATAACAAGTTTCAACAATTTGTTGTTTATACCATGATAAAAGGAGCAATAGATAAATATATTAGTATATCCAGCTAACCTTGGTTTGCCTGGGTGGCGTGTTGCCAAGTGTGAGCTTGCAGAAAACACTAGGGTTACCAACAGACTGCTTCATATTATTGCCACGCTTGATTATGACTACCAGTGTCCCTGGCAAACACTGCAACAGAAATTCAGCCTTTTCCTGAAACCTAGGCGGGCCAGATTGAATCAAGTATTGCAGCAAGGGAATTGCATCTGCCGCAGCCACCGATTGAGCTCTCGAAACCTCAGCTGGGCATGCTGACCAGGCCTGCCGTAGCAGGAAAAGTGCATCTAGAGCAGCTTCTTGAGTTGCCTCAGAACCCGTCTTTAGGGAGGTAACCAGATGAGGAATACTAAGCGTTGCAGGCTCGGTGGCTCGTAAACGTGGAAAATTGCCAAAGAGTGCATTCAGAGCCTTCAGATACTCCTCATTGACAGTTCCAGTCGCCCACAGATCCTTCTCAATGGCAGCTGCAAGGTGAAAGGACAATCATTAAAGAGGTGAAAAGATGTCAGAATAGAAGCAAGGCCATAAATAGCAGCACATAAGGAGAAATAGCCATGTAAGCAAATTACTAGCACAGTGCAACTGTTTTTCCAAGTTGAAGCGCATAGACTTGGTCAGAACAATGGGGCACTAGATCAATGTGGTAAAATGACAATACAATAACTTAAAATGTCACCTATGCTATTCAAGGCATTGCTAAGCTGCAATTAGTTGGACTTTTTCCATCAGACGAATGAGAGAGAACCTTTTTTTCTGAACATGCGATATATAAATGTTCCTGCCCTAGGATGACTCAACAGAGATTCTATCATTTCCTAATTGCACAAGGATACTTGTAATGATAGATTCTCTGTCATGGTTCTCAATGTGACCAAATAAAATAGTGCTTTAGGACGATTTTAAGTTAGCATGTCCTTGTCCTTCACAATTTTGTACCTACAGCAATATTATTTGCACTGTGGCACATGACCTTTGCTGTCAAAAATGCCACATGGATTGACTTATGAAATACGGAAATCATCATCATAATCTTTTTAAAATGTCGCAAATGACAGAAAATGACAGAGGAAGTTGCAATACCTAAGATGCCAAACTGTTCTCTTTATGATGGATGGTTTGAATTTTGGAAAAAAAACAGCAATGAAAATACTAGAGTGCCTCATTACGTGCATATATGCTTGTGCTTCTCGAATTCCAAAAAAGAAAACCCATGAATCCTAAATCAGATACAAGGAAGTCTCACCAGTGATAGCTCTGACTGTTTCACTTGAGGCATACTCCTGAATGGTATGATTAGAGAATAGAAGCTTAATAAACATTGCTGCCTGGACAGATGTCTCCGGGTCACTTGAACCAATCAAATCTAATACAACTTGAACACCGCCAGCCTCTGCAACTGCCCTTTTGTTTGATCTACTGTACATTACAAGGTTCTGTAAAGCACATATAGCGACCACTTTCATCTCTTCGGTAGGTTGGTCTTCAAGCACATTTACTAAGGCACGACAAGCTGAAACAGCATCTGCACTTCTAGCAAGACCTTCGTTCTGAAATATGTCACCAAGTGCAAGAGTAGCAAGTAGCCTGGCCTGCTGAGCTTGCGTTTGAGGATCAAGAAGGTACTGCGATAAAGGCAAGATTGCAGATTTGGTAGCTTTTGTTTCTCGAATCTTAACATTATTCAGCAATACTTCCAGCAGTCTTGCTGCCGTGTCCTCGCACTGATGAGACCTGATGAGTTCCAAAAGAGCCTCTACTGCGCCACTTTCAGCCATTGCTTCGGCACTGGTTGAATCGTCACTCTCCAAAACCAGGAGAGCATTCAAAGCACCTACTACTGTGCTTTCGGAGCCAGCATGGAGTAACCTTACCAACACCGCAACAGGTACCTCCAGATAAAACTCAGAACTAAATTGCAGTATACTGGCTAAAACAGAAGACGAAGATTCCCATAAAGCATGGGGAAGCAATGGGTCAGTTTGCAATATCACTTTGGAAAGCTCTGCAACTCCACCTTCTTTTGCAATTTCATTTGGCCATGCAAGTGCAATTCTTTCTAGGGCCTTTACGGCCCTCTGCTGCAACATATGTAACCCAGAACCGAGTACTCGTACGAGGGGGGCAATTACCTGCTGTGTTACTGAGTCCTTCTGGAGGTGTTCTTCTGAAAGCAAATGAGACAGAAGCTCAGCTGCCAATTGCTGGACGGCTGGAGCTGTAGAATCGAGCAAAGGGATGAGAGGCTCAATAGCCTGGTGGGAACTAAGGTTGTACTCAGATCGGCACTGGGGATGCTCCAAAATATTGACAAGAACTTGTAATGCACTATGCTGGCCATCTGGCCCAAACTCCGGTCTTGCCAGCAAATGAAAAAGGGGTTCCACCACTTTAGCTGCAGATGCTCCTTTGGCAATGCCGGCATTGTTGGTCAAGATCCGAAGCAATTCTGCAAAAGCAGCACAAAGAAAATCCGGTGCTTCGTGGAGGATATCAAGTATGCCTTCTATAACTCCCGCTTTTACCATTTCCATCTTACAAGCAGGTCTGTCTTTTCCCAACTTCACGAGAGCCCTCGAAATAGCTTCATGAAGCAAGTAATTCCTGCCATAAAGAAGGCCAACAAGCGGAACAACTGCACCATGTGCAGCAACTAATTCTGCCAGCTGCTCATCCTCAACAAGTTTTTCCAAAGCGCGAACAACCGAATGCTGAGCGGGACTAAATTCGGTGACAAGGAGAGAGACCATAGGCTCAACACAGCGAGCCGCAGCCATAGTCGACCTGATTCTTGTGTTTCCAAATAGAACACAGCACAACTCAGCTGCATCTCCCTTCAGCTCCATTGAACAATTTGAAGAAAGGATCCTGCAAAGAACATCCACTGCATTCATTTCAACATCTGCAACTGCTAGAGCTCTTGACGGGTTCTCACTCAATAATCTAACCAGTGCAGCTATAGCAGCATGCTGTTCCTTCTCTAAACCAGTGCTAAGAACCTCAACCAGAGGTTGAACAGCTTGCCTTGACGTTTCAGCATTTCTAATATGGTCAGCAGAAAAAAGGCTTTCCAGAGCCTTAGAAGCACTATACCGTGCACCTCTTCCACCTAAACGTAAAACTGCTACTAATTGACTGACAGCACCAAATGCAGATTCATGCTTCCTTATTTCAGGAGTGCTAAATAAGAGTCCTAGTAGGTCAGTAGCAGCTTCTTCAGTTGCATCCTGTGGGCCCAGTGAAAGATACTTGGTCAGGGCTTCCAGAGCACCTGCTTCAACCATTACTATCTTGTTCGAGGGGCATTCTTTTGCAAGCTGAGTCAGAAGCCCAAGTGCCAGGAAGGGTGCATCTGGACGATCAGGAATCGGCTTCAGCAAGTCCACAAGTGCAGGGATGGCTTTTCGAGAAGTTGCCCCCACCCTAATGTCCTCAACTCTGAATAACCTCTCAAGAGCAACTTGGTCTGGATAGCGCACCAGAGCAAACTCATCTGACAATTCCAAGAGATCGAATATATCAACGTCAGCACAACCAAGTAGTGAAATAAGCCCACCTGCTGCACCCGTATTTACTGCACCCGAATTTGCCACAGAAAGCAAAGTTCCCCTGCTTCCATTGCAGATGAGGCTGCACATTGCTTGGGCAGCAAAGTATCTGTTTGCTAGCTCTTCAGTCTTCAGTAAATTTGCCAGAGCCGGTATTGATTTCATAGTTGCATTTGCTCTAATGATATCTCTATCTTGGAACAAAATTGCCAGAAGCAAAGCACATATCCATATGCTACTGTCCTCCTTATCTTCAATCTGCATGATTGTCACTCATATCAACAAACATATGATTACCATTCAGGAAACCAATTTTGATAAAAAAAAAATCATACCTGGGAATAGAGTGAGTAGTAATGTGTGATTTTGTCAGTGAGGACCTCAACGGCTCCAGCTTCCATGATCACAGTCTTAATTTTTTCATCATGACTGGCAAGCACAGAGAGTAGCCATATCGCCAAGTTTACACCATGAATAACTGTCACGCTGCCTGTATCGGATTCACCACTCCCTGTTTCCTCTTTATGATGTCTGAAAAGGATCAAGGCCTCCTTATCATCAACTGTCTGGCCTATCAGAGGAGAAGATTCAGCAGAACTGGCAAGGGTGACCAGAGATTGAATCAGATGAGCACAAGAATTAGACTGGTTTAGATCCTCTATCACTCTCTGATAATTGACCTTGGCAGCACAAATAAGTAATGCAGTTCCTCCAATTTTAACTCTCCTATTTTTCGAGTTTATTATCCTTCTTGCTACTGATGACACACATCCACTGGCACTGGCAACTGTATTACCCAGAACAAGACACTGATCATGGCAAAGTCGTGATAATATCTCAATAGCTTTGTCCTGCAGCAAAGGTTCTGCAGTGGCAATTGATGCGACTATAGGGGTGATGCTGTTGGGAAATTCAGCTAGAACAGCCCATGTAGGTTTTATGTGCCCGCTGGATCCTGATCTCGATAGAAGTGCAAGAGCATCCAGTGCCTCTGACGTGGCAATTGGATCGTTGTTAGTAGATTCTAGAAAAGAAACCAATGCAAGAACTATTCCAGAGTGATTCACATAGTCAGTTAAGGCGTAATCAACTTGACGAGTATGAAGCAGCCTTGCAATTGCAGCAGCAGCATGGGTCTTTCCAGCAAACGTGCCTTCACGCAGGACCCTGGTAGCAGGGGAAATAATTTCTTCAGCAATTGCTTTCTCTGACATTTCACTATCTAATATAAGATTGGCCAAGGCGCATGTCGCCTGCTCCACCACATCCAGCTCTGTGGAGTTCGCTAGCGCAACCAAGGGCGAGAGAGCTTCCTTGGCAATAGCAGCTACATCCTTGTTCACCTTAATCGATAGAAACATGGAAGCAAGGCAACGAGAGGACTCCATCAGAATGTTTTGAGATTCAACATTTAGTAGCTTCAACACTGACAAAAGGGCCTTCACCGCAATACTGCTTTCGCGCAAGTCCTTCCTTTGATAAAAGATTCCAGCTAAGGCTGATGCAGACTTGGCTTGAGTTTCTTCTTTGCTAGAGCTCAATAGTTTAATCATAGTCTCAATAGCATCATTTGCAGCACTACCCTCTCGCAGGGTATCACCGAGGGGAGCAACAGAAAGCATGCTCCGCAGTGCATCCAAAACGTACACTTTAGATTCAGGCAGGTCGCTGGTGAGTAATGCTGTGAGCTGGCTAATGGTTGTCGTATCAGATTTGTGGATCAAATGGTTTAAAGTCTTAGCTGCAATTTCTTTTCCATTTGTGCTTCCGTTCTTTAGTAGCCACAGTAAAGCAGGGACAGCATCTGCACTTTCTACACATTCGCGGATATCTTCACTATGATTGCAAAGATTCCTCAGGATCAATGCCGAGTCTTCCTTCGCTTTGACAGATCCCATCTCCAATATTTGAACAAGTGGAGGTATGCCACCAGCTGCAGTGATCGCCCATTTGCTTTCGTCGTTCTCATTCGACAGAAGAGAAAGTAATGCGACCGCACATTCTTGCTGCTGCTCTGAAGAAAGCCCGAGAAGAGAAATCAACAACTGAACACCTTCACGTCCCTGAAGAGCACGCCACAAACTGCCTTCATTTTTGCAAAGTGTAAGAAGAGCTCGTGTAAGTTCATCCTGCACCTCATTGGTCGCCATAGTGATCAAACCAACAAGCAGACGCTTGGCATCAGAATTTGCCAGTTTAAGCGAGAGAATGGGATTGCCATACAAACTGGCAAGGGCCTCGATTGTACGTTCCTGCACAAGAAATGGTAGGCGCGGTTTGAACTGCTTAATTAGCGTCTGCTCAATTGCCATAGGATCTGAGGCTCGTGTTGACTCTGCTTTACTGTCATATATCATGAGAGCTGAAGCTAAAGCTCCCAATGTATCAGCAACCTGGGCGGGGGAACTGCATGATTCAAGGCTTTGACCAAGGCTCGAGATGACATATGACAAACCACCGGAAATATTAGCGAGAGCACACATTGCATTCTCCTGCAGTGCTTGGGCGTACTCACCTTGCATAAACTCCTTGGACGGAGCGATTGTAGCATTTATCAGTGCAGGAATCCCATTAGTACTGGCGATTTTCTGTCTTGCTTCTTTGCATTGAGCAGAAAGAGACTTGAGAGCATTTGCAGCTTCTGCTCTTATGGAAGCTTCATTTCCTGGTCCCAATAACTTGAGAAGATGTTTAGTGGTGTCCGCAGCCAAGACGTTAGAACAAACAGATGCGTCTTCCATCATCATGCAGGCAAGAAGAAAGCACACATTTGCCTGAGTGCTTGAGTGTCCATCTATAAGCAACTTCACCAGGATATCCGCTCCTCCAGCTTGTATCGTAGCAGACCAGAATCCTTCTGCGCTGCTGGACAGGCTCCGTAAAGCTCCTGTCAATAAGCTATCCACTAAGTTTCCAGCTTTCAGTAGTTGCTTCCAAAGCACCGGTACGACCCCTTCAGTCGAGAAGATTTTTGATCCAACATGATCCTTAGAGCCACCTTGAGAAACAGCATATATGGTCTTTGCAGCAGCAGTTTGACCTTCAGCAGAGCTGGACTTGAGGAGACCAAGCAATGGAGGAATACATCCTCCTAAAAGAACTTTTACCCTTAGGTCATTCTCTTTGCAAAGGGATCCCAGAACATTAGCAGCTTGTATCTTTACTTCCACGGATCCAGAACGGAGAAGTGAAACAAGCACTGGGACAGCCTGAGAATGAGATCCAACAGCACTGAAAGCGTTTTCACGGGTATTAATAAGTTCCAGCAACTGCCTCAAAGAATGCTCTTTCTCTTGAGCAGAAGAAGCACTTTGCCTCAACTGCTCAATGCACTGGGCTACACTTGCCAATGTTCCGTCTGGATCCTCCATGCTACTAGTGCGATCCCTGCAAGACAAAAGAGAACATGAGATACGTAGCTAGGTGCTACACAATGATCATTAAGTGCAGGCTAGATATATAATTAAGCAAAGCCAGCAAATTAACCCTTCAAAGGAACTTACAAACATCGTAGTGACTTTTTGTTTTCCAGAGGAGGCAAGGAAAAGGCAGAATCAAATCAGAGAAAATTTACTTCATGGGTATGAAATCGCATAGTAGACCAACAATGGGAGACAATACAGGACAATGAACTGCGACTTAGTAGAAATTAAGAAAACTCCTGTATCCAACCACCATAATGCATTAGACAGTAGGAAAGCATTGTGAGCATTCTGCTGAACTTAGTTAGTGAAGTCTTGTATGAGCAGTTTATTTAGCTTAGCTTGCACAGGTTGGAAGCATAAAATGCTGAGAGTAAATGTGACCACATTACGGAAAAAAAAGGAAAATTCATGAAAAGCATACAAACTGGTACAGCTACTTTTAGACAGTGTATCTACCACTGTATTGTCCAATCAATTCATTTCCTATCAAACCGATTCTTTAAATTTTAAGAGCAACTCATTCAATGGACTCTCCATATCAGGATTGCCATGGGTATACATCATCGGTGCATTGAATTTTTATATGATTGGTGAGTCAACAGCCTAGATGTCCTTCAGAATCCAAAATATTGCAGTCGGAGTAAGTACAGATGCAGATAAAAATTCTAACGCTTGCATATCTTTCTATCCTCAAGGGAACAGCTCCCTCATATATGTCTAAATCATCATTCCACGCCCAAGTCTTGAAAAGGCAAAAACTTCTTAAGACATGAAAAGGCATTTGAAGAAGCGCTACGGCAGGCCATATTATTCATGATTAATACACACACACATTCTCATAACGATGCTGTCATTCAGTGGGCTGCAAATGACCATATCAGTAGAAGCTAAATGTGAAATTTGAAGCTTATGACAATTCATCTCTGATCTAATGCATGCTTAACTTATATATACAGAGCGAATTACAAGGTTCTAACACAATGTACCCATTATTAAGGGAAATTCTCCTCGATCCTTATTGACCAATTATTCACTAAATATAACACTATCTCACTCCACATTGTTCAGATTGTTTGCAAGTAACATGTCGTATGGGATTGATCTTTGGTGAGTTATCAGATTGTTCAAGAAACTCTACGAGACCAGAACAACTAAACCAAACAATGAAATCATCGAGGCATTCTAGGAAGTCATGCATCTTTGTCATAAATTAATGCAGCTTTCTAAATTCATGCCAGAATGGCATGTCAAAATTGCAAAGATTTTTTCAGGAAAATTGTTCACAAAAAGCAATACATGTTTGATACACAAAATACTCTTAGTAAATGAAAAAAATCCATGTTTTATAAGCACACAGCAATCAGCATCAAAATATAATGACTTAAATGACAAAGAGGCACTTGGGTACTTGTCATTCCTGCAGGAAGCACCGAATGCAGGAGAGTAGATGAAACAAGTACATAGCTACACTTCAAAAGATTTACCAACCTTAAATTCATCTTCATGACTGAATGTGGAGTTGGGGGCTCTGAGTCTTGAAGTTTGCCATTCCCGTTTCTTTCCTGCAAAGATGAAGATGGACGTTAGAGGTACCAAATATTTGGCTTGCATGAGCCAGTAGAAAAGCAGGGCGATCCAACATGGAGAATGTAAAAATGACTGTTAGCTATAGAAAAATGAAGAAGTTCAACATTCAGTCAGTAAAAATTTCTGCCACTCTCTTTCTAGGGAGTAGCAAAGCATATTGATCCAAAGTGTAACAGGATCTTGAGTTTTGCATTCCATAATTACTTCCTTTTGAAGAAAATTTTTAAGATCGTATAGGCACAGCTACTTGAGTGAAAAATAAAGTCAATTAGTTACTACTGCGAAACTCATGTTCTTGATAAGCAGGAAAAGTAACAAGTTTATTGTGGTTCATCAAACTTATGATTTGGATACTCAAGAAGCTCTAAATTGCAAACAAGCTTCATAATTACAGGGAAATGTAGCTCGGCTGCTGAATCACTGAAGAGCAGCATTTGCCAAAATTGCACAGCAAAAGAACCAGTGACCCAATCGAAACTAAGATAAACAATGAGGCAAGTAAAATAATGGCAAATCCAATACTGGGATACACCCCAACTAAATAAAGAAACTCTTATTTTTTTTTTCTGACCGGTTCAATGCCAAGCTGTCGGATTTGAGTAGCAGATGAAGTAAGCAAAGGCCCGAGAACTCAAACTATGCAGCAATTACCAGATCATTAGAAGTGTGGCCGCTGCCATTGCTGGCAGGGAACCTCCAAGCCAGTGTCGCCGCCAGCTTTGCTTAGCTTCACTTCAAGAACTTAGACCGAAACGAGGATCGATCCAGATCCCGCCCCCACTCTCCAGATCTACCCTCTAAGCCACAGTCAAAGCATCAAGATCTCCTGCAATTCAGCCAAAAGCAGAGAAATTCAGCCTCGCGCAGCAGCTAGATCAGCTACCTCAACTTCACTCCAGCCAGAAACGACCTCCAGCAGAGCCAGAAACCCATAAAAAAAAAAACCACGATCCGGACTCTGAATCCGACGAACTAGAGACAATCAGTCAACTATCGCAGGCCAGAGTAAAACCAAGCAACACGACACAGATCGCGAGAGCTCATCTCAAACACATTCACCACAATCCTCTCGCGACCCATCATCAGTTTTCTAGAAACAACGACAAAACCAGAGCTACGGAACCAATTCCCCAGATCGAATCTGAGTAAGCCGCGCACCCATCAAGTCAAATGCCCGACTTGCCGGAATCCAACGCCCACCCACACACCCCCACATACACACACACACGAACACAACGAATGCAGAACAGAGACGAGGAGAGAGACCCCAACGAGGACAAGATTAGCAGAAAACAAGAATGCCCACCCACGCGAAGGAGGCAAGAAATGCAGAGGGGAAGCGAGGGGGATGGAGAGAACACCTTGCACACAGAGAGAGAGAGAGGGAGAGGGAGAGAAAGAGGGTGTTGTCGTAGAAGAGAAGCGAGCATCAAAGCGGCGAAGATAGGTAATAAGGGGAGGAGGAAAGGGACCGCGTGTTTGTCTCCATTTTCACACCGAATTATGTGTCTCTTTAAAGCTTCGATTTTTAATCCGTTTTTTCTTTTGCGTTTTTTCGTTGCTTCTCTGCTGCTGTGAGATAGAGAGAGTGTGTGAGACAGAAGCAGCTCGAGAGAGAGAGAGAGAGAGACAGTGTGTGTGTGCGTGATGGTTCAGTCGGCCACCGACAATTCAGACAGCAGCTTCGTAGGAGCTGAGGAAGCAGGTCCGGAGCTGGCTGCTTTCGAGTTTTTGGCTCGGCTTTTCCTTCGAGCAACTCTGCGCTTCCTTTCCTTCCAGAGAACATGACGCCAGCTTTTGTTCGCGATGGGGAAAAACAATTTCGGAGGAAAATTGAGTGAGGTAATGGAAGAGGAGTTGATTTTTTTTAAAAGAAAATTTTGATTTGAGCAGCGGAGTCTATTTCATAACTCCGTTATTGATATGACCACCCTCGTACACTAAGTTTATTGTGGTTCATTGAACGACTCCGGTTGATCAATTTTAAACTCGATCGGTGCTCGCCAGATCTGGTCCAACCAGGTTAGGGCTCCCCTTGCCCGATCTGGCCTGGGCGAAACCCGACCCACACCGGGGCTCACCCTCGCCTGGCTAAGCCTCACCCTGTGACGGTCGACGGTGACCCTCGCCGAGGCGAGGCTAGCTCGCCCGACCATGGCTGATGGCAGGTCACAGGCAAAATGAAGAAAAAAGGAAAAAAGAAAAAAAAATCAGAAAAAATAATCAAAAAATCGAAATAAAATAAAAATATTATTAAAAATTGTCCATGTCAGCACCAACGGTGCCCCGTAAGCAACGTTCACATCGGCAATGTCTAGCCAAATTTAGTCGAAATAACTAAATTGGTACTAGGTCAAAAGGCTCAAGTCTAAGTTAATACCAATACAATAAATTTAGGACTAAATTAATACCAATGCAATAAATTGATACCAATCCAGTGTCGGTGGTGCCACCTTATGTTTTTGTTTATTTTTTATCGATATATTACTTTGATCCATTCTATTACTCATACTATTTTGCCGTATTTGCTATTTGTTTTAGTTTATAAAAGAAATAAAGCCCAAAAAAAAAAAACCGGTGCCACTTAGACCCTGGAACCAGACCTAAAAAACTGAGTCGGTTGCAAGACAAATAAGATAAGTTCTATATTCCAAAAACTGGGAACCGGTTTTAATAGGATAGATTCCATATACCATATTCGAAATCTACCCATCCTGCAACCGATCACCCCTAGTTCAAATTCAACATCCATATTGAATCTAAACGGGGATCTTAAGCAATGGCGGGCTGGAGCTAGATCAAGAGTAACGAAATTACTGCTTGATTCACATATCCTTTTTTACTAGATTAAAGAGTATCCAAATCACTGATCCTACTCGTATAACGTGAAGACTCGAGTCAACGGGAAGCCAACCGTCTGCTGTCATCAACAGAGAATAGTTGGGGGCAAAGCGGCTCAAGCGTCCATCGAAGCCAAGCCGCTGGAGAAAAGTTGGCCTTTAGGTTTTGCTTGGTTGGCTGGAAAAATAATGTGCATGCAGATATTTTTAATGACCAAAAGACAATCAAGAAGGTCCAGGACAATAGGATGACACCTAATATTTAGGTTATTCTAATTTTTCAGCAAATTTAAGTTGTAATTCCTTGAAACAAGAGAACCCATTTTCTTCTTGAACTGAAATAAGCAGCTATTCACTTTCATATCATGGACTGTGATCCTAAGCCAATGGGTGCTTGTAACTTTTTAGGGGTTATAATTGCAATATCTTTGCTTCGCGTAATTTCTTTTATGTCGGGTTAAAAGTCTGGTGAATATCCTAATTAGATCGGGAAAAAGATTATCTCGCGCGCGCAAAAGATGAACCGTGCTCGCATATGTTAAAAGCGAAGGGGAATTCTAACTATGTCCCCGTGGAATTGCTTGGAAGCCGCTCTGCTTGGAATGAACAACGGCATTGCACAAATTCCTCGAAAGTGATGGGAGCAAAAGTTGGTAGTTGTATTTCTAACGTATATATAAATTGTTTATATATGTCATTGTGTACTACCGGTGGCGAAAACTATAGGCAATAATGGTTATTTTGCCTATGTTTTTGACTTTGTTTAATGTGAAGATCAACTTTGCCATTGATTATTATCAGGTTATCCTACACGCTATTCAGCCGTTATCATGACTGCTTTCTTCACATTGACAAAAAATAGCAGGTACTCAGATTACATGTGAGCTATATGACTTAGAGTGGGGGACAACCATGGACTATGGATGTGTTCAGATACTTACAGTTTCATACCCACTTTCTTTCTATCTACCCCAATTTCCTTTTTATCATTTCATGCACACCCAACACATAGATTGAACCTAGGCGCTAATGAGAAATTATTAAATGTATATGGGCGATTTTACGTATTAAATTGAATCTAAATCGTTGAAAATAACAGATCCCACGTGGATCCTGTCGGTTCCGACCGCTCAGATTTAATTTTTGCGTACGCGTGTTAAATCCACCGAATTATTCCTCATGTGTTCGCGAGCCGAAATCAGGAAAGCGCGAAAATTAAAATTATTACTTTCCTCCAATTATTTTTTTTTTGTGTGTGTTCATATGTGTTTTTAGGTGGGGCCACTTGACAATGATTGAGACTCTGCCCAACCATATGCTTATATATAAATATATAAAAAAAAGAAGGTTCAAATTGGAAGGGAACATGGACATGGAGCTGGAGTTAGTTGGGCTGTAGCCCTTCAATCCCCATGTTCTCAAATTTGATTTTTTCTTTTTTAATTATAGAAAAGTATTTTCATGAGAAGTGATTGCCCAACGTTCGTGATTAAGACCGTCGAAGAGATTTTCCCTCTTTTTTAAAAAATTCTGAAAATAATGGAAAGACAATGCATCGTTTTCTAGCCAGTAACATAACAGGTGTACCGTCGGTTGGAACTTTTGGAAGGGCATACACAATCATTTTTTCTTAATTTTTTAGTAATCTGGCACCTGCAATTACTTTATTATGTGCACGCTTAGAATAATCAATAACCGAACTACGCATCGATGAAGAGAGTTATTGAAAGAGTTCTCATATCGATATTTAAAGTTCAACTGAATCGTAGAACTTGTCTTTTATACAATTAAGTTGTAAGACTTACAGGTAAATGTTCAATCGAAGCCCTCTGTTGAAGGGAAGAATATTAACAGTTTCCCGTGCTGTACACCATTAGCGTCGCGACATGCCATTAGGTGCAGCGCTATCACATGATAAAAGGATTTGGATCGAACATTTGCATAGAGTTTCGAGATATGACTACATATGCACAATTAAAAAGTTCGGAGATTCACTAGCAATTCGGCATAAGTTCCGACCCTTGTGACTGACGTTGCGATGTGCATGTAAATGTATACATTTGTTGCAAGAAAAATATAAAAAAAAGGTATCCCACCTTTTATCCAATGATTATATATATATATATATATATATATATTATTGCATTTGAAAACACTAAATATATGTAAGTTTTACCTCGAAGATCTCTTTACACCTTCACAAGAATTATCCTCGTGCCCCTATTTACAAAAACATCATCCCGAAATCCTAAATTATTTTACAGTTATGCCCACCAAAACATTCAAAAGTCACCCACCCATGGGTAGCTCAATTGGTTAGGGCGTACTTGGGATTGTAGTTCGAACCCCAGGGTTCGTAGTCGTTACTTGGGATTCTTAAGTGTGGCGCCGTGGTGGTGGGTCCTCAATCCTAGTCTCCCCCGAGGAATAGTCGAGGTGCGCGCAAGTTGTGCGGGGGCACCTCGGTTACCAAAAAAAAAAAAAAACATTCAAAAGCCAACTTAAAAGACAAATCACCCAAATCCTGAACGAGATGCTAAACTGACCTTACAAGGATGGACAATTTGGTTCTTTCAATGTGGGGTTTTTGCTCAGGGGTGCGCGAATGGTCTTTTCGAAAATGAAGGTATGTAAGTGGTCATTAGATCAAAAGCGAGGTGTATTCTTTATATTTCCTTAATTGCACATTAAAGAAATCGCAGTCACCCAAGGATGTTAGCGCTTCCGAGAGGATACGATGCAAAGAATATTCCCATCTGATCTCGAGCAGTTGAAGCTAGGACTTCACTTTCAGCGATCACAAAGCAAGTCACATCAGGAATGCAACCCCCACCCAACAAGTTTTGAATCCTACAATGTCAACAAAAGAATCGAAAACAAAAGCACAAATCGAATGTATAAGACTAACAAGATTGAATACGATTGAAGAATGTCGATGACATTGGTTCTCTGTCATTTATTTTGCGGAGCTAGTGTTCAGGCCGAGTTTGCCGCATGCCACGGGCATCGTCGCGCGTTTAATTTGCTAAGATAGCGTGACCTTTTCATCGCTCGACTCGATTTTCTTTGTGTCGTGGTCTATTTGCAAGCACTCAAGGTCCATTTGACTCTTTTTTTCAAGTCTTGGTTTTCACTAATGAAGTTTGAGGCCGCTTCCTAAACCACAACACCGTTGATGCTGATCTTACTCACACAAATCGATAGTAGCAAGTTTACAAATCAATGCCCGCTCCGGTTGACCTCAGGAATATAGAAATAATTATTATTTAGTCATTTTTTGCCCTTTTTTTTTTTCTTTTTTAAGTGTATTCCCACATGCATTTGAACTTCAAAGCACGTGCACCACGACAGGGAGATGGAGGAATTATTAGGCATTCTGAGACATCGAAAGACCAACTACGACTGACAAGCAAAAGACCCAACTACCATTCCCTGTCATTTGTTATCTATTGGGTCAAGATTCTTAAAATGGGACAACAATTGAGGAGGAAAAGGAAACAAGTCTAAGACAAATCAACGCACATTAGAAACTTGCGAAAACTTGCCAATTTCACTCATCCGGTACATGGCAGTTACGATTGCATCGCTGCATATGTCGATGGCGATTACGGAATGATGACTAGATGAAAGAATTTATCGAGTTGGGAATACGTTGAAAAGAGGACAGAACGATTTCCAGACCTAAAGCTTACTGTTTAAGTGGGTCTTATTCAGTTTCACATTACTAAACAATAGATTGGCTGCACAATTTCTTGAACCCATAATCCATGAATAGGGTACAGGAATCCATCTGCCGACCGGCAAGGAAGGTATGAGTTTCCGTTCGGTTGAACAAGTTCTCATCAACTTCAGGGAATCAAAGGGTTCACCAGGACAAGCATATCCTCATCCTCAATACACCATCAGTCTGACAAGGTAAACTGATCCTCGGGGAAAAAGAACTTTCTATGCAAATTTATGAGAAGATTTTCTTATTCAAAAAGACTACAGACAGTTGAAGTAGGACAACCTCAGAACAATTCCTCATAACTGTTGAGCCGTTGAGAAGGAATAACGAAAATGGCTCGCCAAACTGAACAGATATGTTCAGGTTCAGTAGCCAAACTTGTGGTGTTAAAAAAGCCACTCAGTCCTATTTCAGGACATTGCTCAATTTTTCTCGATGTATCTTTATGAGGGTCGCAGATATTATGGGACATGCCTCAAGTGAGATTACGTTATTGCAGTTTAAGTGAGGCTAACTGAAGTGGCAAATGACTGAAGCAGAGTTAGGGCTTGCTCGGCAATTGCCCTATTTCTTGCCTGCCTGACCCACACACGGACTATCTCGGCTGCTTGGCTTCCTTGTAGACCTTCGTCAAGAGCATCTGCTGCTTCAGCAAGTTTCCCTTCTGCCAAGTAGCTCTCAACTCTACTAATGATAGATTCGATCCCATCACCAGAATGGCCACCTTCTTTGATCTATACCAAAGTGGAAAACATCTTCAGCTTTTCAGTGAAATCTAATGTTGCATCCCAATATTCCATAGAATTAACCTATATTCCCAATGGTTGCTAAGTTTGCACATCCACAACATATATTTCTTATTGTTATTGCATAACGTGTCTCTGGAGAAAATCACAGATATAATAAGCACTAACAGGGGTTAAAAGTTAAAACTAATTTTGATAGAATGGAGTTGAACTAATTTTTATAGAACAGAGCTCCGTGAATAATCTATGCATTTATTGAAAAAGACGCTAATATATAGGTTAATTTTGTAAGCAACCTCTTACAATAAAAGCACACATCATGCTGATTTGAAAACTAATCAAGGAAAATTGCTGAATGTAGATTTCTTCCTCACCTTCAACCATGAAGCGACACGTGCTAAAGAATGAGCCAAGATGCCACCACCTCCAGGTGGAATAAGGCTAAAGTGTCGCAGCGTCCCTTTTAATGTATCAAACTATAGGAAGCAGAGTGTTAAGAAGACTTAGTAATTACGTTCCTCAAAGGAAGCAAATTCACATGCATACTTGTATACGAACGCATTTGTATCTCCATATCTAGCATAATTTTATAAATTAATCTCAACATATCACCGGTATCTGTCTCAATGGCTAAACATCATGTTGCTGCGTAAAGACTCTAGCTTTATAAGAAGATACACTTTGAGAGAACTCTAGAACCATGAGGGAAATAAGAAAACAATTCATGGAGATAAGAAGGAAGTCAGTAAGAAACTTGAGGCACCGCAATAAAATAGAGTATATTTCTCCTCTTATAGGGAAATAAATGCTGTTTGGATTAGTAACTGAGGAACAACAAAGCTATCTTAGAGCATGGCAGCCCAGCTGTAAGTATCGCAACACAGTTCAATTTGTGATTCAAATAATGATAATCCTTATGCCAAAGTTGAAACTTTAATTTGAGATAAATGTTTTGCTTTATCTTGCTCAGAAATTTTAAGAGTCATTTTAGTAAATAATCAAGGCAGTTGGAAGAGATTTCAGAGACTCAAAATGATAAATTTCATACACTGGATAAACTACTGGTCACATTTTCTTAATAGAGAAGAGACCACCAAAGCAGAACCCTTCCTTTTCTTCCCACTAGAAGCATTTCATCAAATGACGCCAGAATCATTATTGAAGAAGCAAAGGGAGGGGCATCTCATGGGTAAAGCTCGTTTTATTATACTAGGAGGGAAACACGGGAGAATAGGGAGTAGGGTGAGATTTTACTGAATGCCCTACAGTGCACAAATTCCGTCAGCTCTACCAAGCAAAAGTGCCAACGAAGAACTACGTGCTGAATGAACAAAATAGATTGAGCTTTGAGAAACAGAGTACCATATTTGCTGTTAAAAAAATAAGAAAACAGGAAAGTTCAAGCATATTAATAGTGGAACTCTAACTGATCCCACTACCTACTATTATGCTCCCTTTAACCAGCCTAACGGTTAATAAAAAGAAAACACATAGGGAATCCAACAAACAGGGACGAATCTTTAGATCAAGTGGCCACTATCAGCAGAAGTAAGGACAGGTTATTAGCTTTTTCATCAATGCAATCTTCTTAAAGAAAATTCACAAGAGGTTAGACAGGATTAAGTTCCGAAGAATTACAGCATTGTATAAACCCACCAATTTCTAAATCTTTATGGTAAGAGAAATATCTCACCTGATGGTTCAATTGCAACATGGTATCAGAGCCATGGAAAATTGTTTCTTCCGGAAGAGATGATAAGACTAAATCCAAGACTGAATCCTTGTCTATACCTTCAAGATAAGTTTGCAAAGCTTCTATTTCTGCCTTAATAGGCAGCCCTTTGGAAAGAGCATCTTCTAGTGCAAGTGCTCCCTGAATGACAACACAGGCAGGCAGACATAAATATGTACGCTAGAAAATTCAAAACTACACCATTTGAAGCTGATATCCGAAGCCAAAAGTATGGAAAGGTCGGGAAAAAAAATATGCGGGAGACAAACGAAAAGAACCATTACCAAAGCCAGCTTATGAACAGAATGACTCTGCCGAGCCTCTTCAGATCGAGCATAAAATGCCATGCATAAGGCATTTATCTACAAATCAATATAGATATCCATCAAACGTCATTTCATTTACATATATCAGTGCTTTTTGAAAAAGAGTGTTCATCAGAAATGCATTAAAGCAAGAAAGGAAAAAAAACACTACTGATACAAAATGGCTATTTATTGATAAATGGGGATGGTAACATATGAAGAATTCTATGCATGTAACCGGAGATGGTTAGGTTCAACCATGCTTTTGATAGCAGAGCTTTCTCATGCAAAGCATTGGAAAGCTTAAACTGAGAGCTGCACAACCCTCTAACTTAGGCATACACCAGTAATAAAGACGGATATATGCTGAACTCAATAAAACTATAATGACCTGATGTAAGGCCCTACATAAAGCAAGCCAGACCTAAGCAGAATATTGTCCAAATATAATTGTTATGCATGCATAAGCAACACATCCTATAAGTAAGGTTAATGGCCAGGAAAACAACTGGTTTGCTTTTTATAAATGATAATGTCTAATTCCAGTTCTCTGGAGAATACAACGAGAATGTCCTCAAAAGAATAAGACCAGAAAAAGAGGAATAGAAGACAAAAACAAGGATGGAAAAAACAATCAAAAAAGGTGCTTCTCAGACCAAAGGCAGCTATATTTACCACTTCCAATTTTTTACTAATTTTCAGGTCCAAGCATACTGATCCATCGAAAGCATCGAAGGGCAAACAACTGCATTTAGGCCAACAGATGATTGTAAAAGTGCTTGTTTTCTTTTCTTTATCCTCTGGTTTCTTCTACTCCATGAGGTTGATTGGAGTGGAAAAAGCATACCCAGATTATCAGCAATGCTACTGCATGACATGTTTAACTCAATTTGATTCTCCTACATCTTTCTCCATGTTTTTTTTTACCACAGCTAACAATTATGCAGCTAATTAAAACTTAAATCAAACAGGCCCAACTTCCTAATTTATTGCAGCTCGATTACAGTGAAGAATTTAATTGCATGGAAAGTAAGAATCTTGCATAGTTTGTACTAAGTTGCCCTCGAAATTTCTCTCACTCCCCTGAATGTAGTAGATGTTATTTAAGAATATACAGCTACTCTCCAATGATTGTCCACTCAATTAATTACCAATCCTTCTTCCACAGAAAACATCAGGTACCTTCCAGTTTTGTTACACTCATCGGTACTCGTGGGCTAGTAATATCAAGTAGCTTCTGCATGTGCTGATTCCAGAAATTTGCACTGGGAAAATTACCAGCATTTAGCTTTTCAGCTATTGTATCAAGAAATGAGCGTGACGATATATCTTATTCCAAGAGCCAGACTCATCAGTGCACAGTGCAGAAATGATTCCCTCATACCTAGTATGCATGCTCTTTCCTTATAATCCTGAAGTGCACAAAACAACCTTTAACAAGATGCTTTTGCAATGGAATATCTCTAGGTATTACCTAATGTTGACACCTAAATTTTAATTGCCCAATTAAAGGGGCCGCGCCGCGGGGAGGTCGCGACACCTAACATGTTGCTTTATATGAACACTTTCTTCAGTGTAATAGCAATGTTCTTTGCAAACATTATACATCAAAGTTATGCCTAGCAAATGAAATGCAAATAAATTTCTCAAATTTACGAAACAAATTACGCATACATGGAGATTCGCTTCCGCCATTTTCTCAATCTGAGCAGCCTTCTCACGTGCAATTGCGGAAACCATTTCTGCTTTTGCCAATTCCTCCACTTTTTTCAGTTTCATTTCTGCTTCACTCTCCTGTAATATTTTAAACCAGCGATGTGAGTTCAACCTTTGCTAATGCAGAAGTCAAAAAACAAAACACAGATGAGAAGACTTTTAACAGGAAAAGGTCAGGTTGCACCTTTTGCTCTAGTTCCAGTATGTGCTTCTCTTCCAACTTCTGCTGAAGAGCTGCCAAAGCAGCTGCTGCTTTTGCCCTCTCTCTTTTCAATTCCTGCACAACCGGAGATTGTCACACCAGCAAAAGTGAGTCCTGTGTACTGAAATGATTATACACTGCATGCACCCTCTCAAACTCACTCGCACTTCATCGATCTGATGAACCAAAACAAAAGAAAAAAAATGCATATAATTACCCAGTATAGCAGCCAAAAAATCTAGGAGTACTACAAATTCCGGCAGGAGGTCAAAAGAACCAAATTGAGAAAGGCCCCGAAGAATTTGGGGCCATAACAATTCGTATTATCTCGTTTATAATTGAGGTTAATGTACATACAAAATGGACAAATACAAAGATATAGGAATGCCTTTTTTCAATTCCCTAAGTAACTTTCATAATAAAGCAACAAGGGGCATACCAACTTGTACTAGAAGCATCTCACCGCAAGCAGGGCTGAATCCGTCTATATATAAAACTCCAGATAGGAATTAGGATAGCGTAGGATTGTGAAGGACAGGTATTAACAAATCGATGAATTAAACGCCAGAACCCTAAGTAATTGCCACAAGTTGGCCACCTCAGCTGCTGCAACTTGGTCTGTATATTATAGGCTAAGTTGCAGCCACGACTTTGCCTTACTAGATCCATGAGAGAGAGAATGGGGGGTCAAGAGAAGGGAGAGGGACACATTCAGGCACAATCTATGTGCTCAACCAAATCACTGTTGCAGTTGCTCAGGATATAGCCCTGCTCAGATCAGAGATATGGTGACTTCGACAGTGACAATGGAAGACAATTGTTGGTAACACCAGGGAACAGGTTAAAAAGCCAGTACTTACGTTCAATTTTTTCAGTTTTTTTATTAATTTCTTTTGCCAGATAGGCTAAACACTTTCCAGCCCTTCAAGGCCAGATTCTACACATGGGCTATATCTGGGCTTATCTAAGACTATTCAGTCTGAAAGTCATCACCCAAATGCTGAACAGAAAGAGGTTATCCAATCTGGCCTGCGATATAATGCTCACCAAGCATAGCATAGGACATTCTGATTAGACACTAGGCCAAGACCCGATGCCTATATCAAACAAGACAAAATCAAAACACACAAACTTTACCCAGAAATGACAATTACAAGAGAAAAATTGTATTAAAATCAGATCAGGGCCATAAAGCACCTTCCAGCTATACATATGATCCCAAGAACCTCCTACACCAAACTGCATCAGTGGCATCATCCTCCAGATAAGGGCCACAAATAAAATGAAACCTGAAGCTGTCTTACCTGATTAGGTATCTTGTCGTGATTAATTTAACAATGCAATCTTTGTTATACTGCTCCTTTTACATGACGAGGAACATCTATTACCACAAGCACCTCATGCTTTATGTTAGCCAACCTCTTCTTCCACAACTTCTCAAAAGTCTGAAGTCTGCATCCTCATGGCCACTATAGAAGTAAAGCACCTAGCAAACGGATTCCAGTATAACCCAATACCTTAATAGCTAAAAGCTCCAGTAACCAACTCACGTGAAGCCAAACCAATACCGGCTAGATAAATTTCCCAGTGCTCATAGTCTTCCACTAGCTCAGAAACTTGAGATTCCATCCTCCCAAAACTTCTCTCTCAGGAAAAATATATATATCACTTCAAAGCATTGAAAGAAAGCTCTCTCTACTTCGTATGGCAAGAAAAGTTACTAGCCACTTAAAAACCAAACCATTTCACCTTGTTTATATGCCGCTCCTTCCAAACCAACTCATTTGTCCGCCATCAAGATATCCAGCAAAAATAATGCCTATTCCTTTTACTTTTAGAGTTTCAAGTAAGCTGTTTTATACCTTGTATAATAAAATCTTAAATTACTACAGCCTGAATGGCAGCATGCAATCATGATATTATTTAGTTACGTAAATGCATGTTGAAAATGGCTCTGACTCTGGAGAAAAAATCTAAGTGGAGCCACCTAAATTTGATACATAGGGCCAGACCATTTGATGCTCATGAAACTGATCCTGATTGCTTTTGATGCATATAAAACTTACTCTAAGCATACCACCTGACTGCTATCTCATCACCCATCTAACAGTCTTTTACGTAAATCGCTTGTCAAAGCTCCCCACATGTTGAATGAAGACCCACCTGACCCTTCCTCTTTCTCCAGTTAATTCTTATATAGTTTACATAACATCTCTGAGCCCATCATTTATCTCAAATTGTAGAAAAAATTATAGAGAATTAGAGATCGATATGCATCTTTTCTCCGCAGCACCAACCCCTGTGAACTCCAAGTTATTCATGCTTCTATGCATGCTGGGTTCAATGAATTTGCATCTAGAATCTCTCATCAAAACCTTTTTCCCTTAGCTAATTTTGCTTCAGGCCCCATTTCTGTAGATTTAAGACACATTCACACTCTCAACCTCCTACTATTTAGGACAAGAAAATTCAGGAACATAAAGATCTCATCAGATGTAGTGAGCCTTTGGTGAGATTTATATTCCTCACAATTCACAGACTTGAGGTTTGAACAGGGAAGAAACTACCTCAAACATTTGTACACCGACCAATCTATGTCGAGGTGTTCATTTTAAGCCCTCTCCCCCCGTCCACCCAGAAAAAAAGGAAAATAATGAAGAAGAAAAGCCACATGACTTTGAAGAAAATTATTTGAGAATGATTTTTCAAGCAGTACTTGTATGTAGATTCATGATATTCCGAAAACACTGCCTTATGCACTCTGAGATTTGATGAGCATACAGAATCAAAATACTATATGAAGACTAAAACATGGAAACAAGAACCACCTTATCTAGTAATGCAGCCTCTTCTGCATGCATAAGGTCTCTAGCAATTGCATCTTTCAAATCCTTCTCGTACTTCTCCTGAAGCACCCAAAAAGAGTTTAATTATTCAATAGACTCACCAGTTCTTAAAAAGTTGAGCAAAGTGAAGAGTAAATAAGAACAAGAGAGGATAATATTTATAATTTGTATTATATAAAATGTCTATTTTTGTAAGGGGAAAAAGATAGCACCACTAGGTGGTGAGAAATTCATGTCCCTAGTCACAAGGGTTTGTCCTTACCTTCATTTTTCTCTTTTCTTCAGCAAAATGACGAGCATCTAACTCAGCTTGTCTTTTTTCAGCCACATGAATTGCTTGTAAGAAATCAAGAATCAGTTTTCCATCTTTGGTAGCTACACCATCATTTGACTCCTCAATTGCACTAGCAAAAGCCTTTAAGTCAGGGAACAAAGATAAGTCAACAATAAACTTTCATAGAAAAGATAAGTTCACTATGAACTTCCATAAGAAATCAGCCTGGACTAAACAAAAACAATGCAAAAAATACAGTACCTCAATGTCAATGTCTCTATTGAGAGAAGGAGGAGATCTCTCCTCAGATTTATCCTTCAGATGATATGATTCGAGAAGAGAACCTGGTGTTTCAATAATATGACCAGATGCATCCTAGAAAAACATGTGAAAAAAAGAGGAATTCCAAATTAATCGACTTCTATCCTTAAAGCAATAAAAAAGCAATAAAAAAACTCCTATATACATAGAGAAACATAGTTTAACCAAGGTTATAGATCACCAGGGTACTAGTAGTCATGTCACCTCAGTCTCTCAGCTTTCCTGGCATTATTATAAAAGGCGTAGAGAAGATATCGTAGAAAGTACAAACTAAGATGGCATCTAAATGAGAGAAATAGAATCAGCTATTTCTAATACTTCAGGCAGCTACTACCAGAAGATGAAAAGAACCACTACAAGATAAAATTAGACAATATACTATTTATACAAGATACCATCACCAAACTAAAAACCTAGCAATCCATATGAAAGATATATGCAACATATGAGGGAGCGTTTAGTGAGCAATGACAAAGCACCTCCTGTCTCTCTTCTGCTACAAGATCCTGATGAGGCATTACTTTTGTCTCATCGAGATCGGTAACTGAACTAGCCTGACTGGATAATTGCCCAACTTCCTCATCTGGTAGCTTACTTCCGCTAATCATCGGGCTTTGTGTATCATGACTCCGTTCAGATGATACTGCAGAATCTGTGCTTTCAACATTAGAAATCATGTCAGCTGTGGGCGATTCTTCAAGTTGGCTCAAGGCATTACTTTCTCCAAGTGCGAATTCAGATTTATCCTGTGAGTGAGACTGAACATCAATCTCACTCTCGTTTAAAGCATCAGATCGCGGTGCAACTGGCTGGATGTCATCCTTTTTCCCATCACTCATTTGAGGACTCAAATCTTTGAGCACTTCACCACCAGTTAAAACTTTTTCCTCTTCAAAACGATGGAGGGACTTTGCATCTTGAGAATTTGCATCCTGATTTTTCAGATCAAGACCGATCCTAGAGGTCTCGAGAGAGTCATGCTTCTCTTTACCGAGCATATGATCTAAGTAGCCAGATTGATAAGCCGCCATGAAAGCAGCGCTAACAGCAATACCTCCCAAAATGAACTTAGGTAATGAACTTCCAGACTCAGGTGGCTTTCCCGGTTTCCCAGTCGATGCATTTTGTGGAGCAGCAGTCGAAAATTCCCTTCTTGAAGAAAGATATAAGGACCTCTGCTGAAATATCACCACCATAAATTAAGCACCATAAATAGATGGCAACGGTCAACAAAAATGATTCCTCGCACACTTGTCTAAGGCTCTCTTATACCAAAAAAAACCCAAGATTTCCCACACACCATGAACAGAGAGAACACGACGAAGTGCTAAAAACCTGGGGATTTTAAGAAGTGGAGGTCCTTGCAATGGAGTTCCCAATATTTAAACAAAAAAAAAACGCAGTGCATCCAGAATTAAAGTCAAAATTACCGAATCGTCATAACATTCCTATAAACCAAGTTTTCCACCTCTAGTGAAAGGGATTGATAGTGTGGAAAGTTAGCTCACTAGCATATCAATTATCAAGCAATACGATGGTATTCGACCATTGACATCCGGAATCAAACCGAACATAAATGCCAAAGCAAAATGCAATGACAAAGCAGCTTCCAGGACCCCTCAACCCCACCCGAGCGCAAGCCGCCGGGCGCAAATCACCACAAAACACGAGCTTCTCTAACCCGAAAGGGAAAAAGAACAGCAGGTATTCACGAAGCTCAATCGAACAGCGGCCGCAGTACCTGACCGGCGATTTGCCTCGGGATCCTTTTAAAGGATGGGCGAGCCGGCAATTCCAGAATCGACCTGCAAAATTCACCGCGAGAGCTCGGAATTCAACAACGTCGAAACGTCACAGAAAACGGACGACGCGAGCTAACGCGCATTCGCGCTATAAGAAGTTCAAGCATCAACACCATTGTCATCTCACACGGCAACGCACACGAAAGAGCGAGAGCAACGCCACGAACTCTCTCTCTCTCTCTCTCTCTCTCTCTCTGTTTCGGACAGCATCGTGCAGGAATCGGCTCTTACCGGATCATCTCCTCAGTGCAATCGTTTGCATTCGGCTCGCACCGTGGTGCTGTGGTTCGTCAATGGCGGATCGTTGTAATCGCAGTAGAGAGAGAGAGAGAGAGAGAGATAGAGAGAGAGAGAGGGGTTGGTTCTCGAGGAAGTGCGGCATTGTCTCTCGAGCCCTTAGTAGCAAGCAGAGCTGGGCGGGATCGGGCCGGGCCGGGCCGGTCCGGTTTCTAGAATGGATCGATTCCCGACCTAGAGTAAGGAACCCGCCCTGTGATTAAACCTGCCAAAACGGATTATGGATGCATTTCTGAACTCGTGTTCGCTGGGCCGAGTTGTTATATGAGTTAATTATTTTCGGTAAATGGGTCGTAAGTGAATTTAAACTGATAGAACCAAAAATAATATGGGCGTGACAAAATATTAATAACTTACTCGGGCTTAACCCACATTTATGATTCTTTCTCTGGCTTGCTTACTCCGTGCTCTACTTCAGTTCGGGTACGAGTAATCCTAAATTGAGTTAAATATGGAAGTGTTTAAGAAATATGAGGTAGGTATGGATTATTAATTTTGTATTGTGTGGAAATGGATCAAAACGGATTAACACATGTCAATTTGAGTCTGATAATTTTTTACCCAATTTGATCCACCGATTTGATGGGTCTGCCAATCACTCCCGATTAAAAAAGAATAAAATTGAGAACCGAACCGACCAGTTTCTATAACCGTTCCAATTTTATTTTTGTTAAAAAAAGTCAAAGATTTTTATCATAAAATATTGATAAAGCACTGTTTCATTACAAAAATATATATTGGTCTAGCGATTATATTGTTGTTTTCTTCGTGTTGAAGATCATGGTTATAGTTTTTTTTTTAAAATACCAGTATTAGTTTCTTGGAACCGGGAGCCGGTTCGGCCTGGTTCTCGGATTGAAAGGGGCCGCTGCCCACCCGGTCACTGATATGGACACGGGCCGGGTTGCCCCGGTTTAGGTGACCCAACTGTCGCAGACCCGAGGAGGCAAAGACCCGGACCACCATTTATTAGTTTTGGCGCTCCTCCTGCTGTTTTAGCAGTCGCGGCAGCCGGTGGCCGAAAACCAACGCGAACAGAAGCGCTGCTTCCTCCACGTCCGTTCTCTGATCATGGGCAAAGGCAGAAGTGGAAGATTCAAGGACCATCACCATCACAGAGGGCAATCCAGCAAAACCCATCAAGCTGTGAGGTGAATTCATCTCCTTTGGAGCGCTTGGAGCATCCATCTCTTCCTCTTCCTTCTCTGTCTGTGGCATCTGGGTCCTTGTGTTTTTGGCCCCCCCCCCCCCCCTCTTTGGGGACTGCTTTTCACTGTTTCAGTTTCTTTTGCAGGGAAGATGAGTCCCTACCGAGTGAGCCAGGTTAGCTCCTCTGCCTTTCTTTGACAGTTGATTGCGGGCGCACACCAACTGCTTGATGGAATGCTTTTGTGATCTCAGATAGTTGTTGTTCTGTATTGAGTCTTAACGAGATACTTCCTTTTGCAGTTGATAGGGAGAAGGAGGAGGAGAGTACAGTGCCCAAAATTCAGCTTGCAATGTGGGTACGCCTTTTCTATACCCTTCAAACCATGTCGAAATGGTCACCACAACTGGTTATGAATTTTGGGTAAAATTAATAGCATCCGTGGAAATTTGTTTAACTCTTAATTGTATTCAGTGGTCACTTTAGTCTCCATTTGTGGGTTCGTTACAATTTTATTGATGAAACATGGCCTGTGTAGCTTGCGAATGTGGCGCGAGAAGTGGTGATTGAAAAGCAACTTGGCTCCTGTAATTTTTGCTGTGCCCCTTTGTTTTTGTATGCCTGTCTTGTCATAAAAAGTCTCTCTTTAGCATAGGTATATGGTATTTCTCTTACATGGGAAAAGATAAAATTATCTCCTCTGATGGATTTCTTGATCCAGACTTTCTATGGTCAAATGTACAAATGGGGATTATCTTATCTGTATTAAATTATTTAGTTGTAAAGGAGCATAATTCTCGTTGGTATCATCGTTGCCTGTTAGGATAAGTGATTCACTGAATTCCATGATCGATTATTGTTAATGAACAATCATGCATTAATATGCTCTGAAAATGATAAAAAGAGAGCTCCATAGATATACAATTTCAATGTAATAGCTTGCTGGGTATTGGCATAGTTTGACTCATTAGTCTTGTGGTACTTCTTTCCCAGGATTTTGGGCAATGTGATGCAAAAAGGTGCACGGGACGGAAACTTTCAAGATTTGGCTTGATAAAAGAAAGTATCTGCTTCTAAAACGTTGTCCAGTTTATTCTTCTCTATGCAAGTTGTTGCTACAATGCCTTTTCCTTTCCATGAAAAAAAACTTCAAGCCACATTCAGAATGACCATTCTATTGATAATGTGTTTTGCAAAAGTGACTTTTGAACATTTAATGTAGTTTATTAAATGTCAGCAAGTTGAACAAGCCCCAAACCAAATGAGTCCACACTAGTTAGAAGAAAATTGGAAATGATGAATTATGTAAAGGCGCCTTTTGAACATCTAATACCATGTCAGCAAATAAACCACAGCCCAAAAACCAAATAAGTTAATATTTGAAAGCAAATAGTCCATGATAAATCAATTGAATACGTTTATGTATATAAAAAAGTTAATATGTACCATTCCTTTTTCCTTGAATGGAATCAATATCTAGCATATTTGTCCGCGAGATTGAGATGAACTTTCAGACCATTCTCTGCACCTTCTTTCTTAATCATTTCAACTTAGGACCCATATTCAAAGAGCCTTCTTTTCTTTCCAACTAGCCCATGCAGAGAGGGATAGCTGTAGTTGCTTGAACCTTGAGACTGCAATTTATCGATGTATTTTAGCTGCCCTTTTGAGGTCCAACATTGCTTGAAGTGTAATATATTTTCGCTAAGTGTTTGAGTAGAATTAGTCTCTTGAGTTACGATTTTGTCTGTCTTGTTTTGACTGAACTAGCCAGGAATTATGTAGAACAATCACATATTGATTATCAGAGTCACTGATATAAAACTAGGAGAAAGAATTAGCTAAAGTTGCCTGACATAAAGGCAATATGCTGAATAGGTGCTTTTTTCTCTGCAACATGTCGTAATTGGTAATATGCTATTTACATGATTATTTATGATTTAAAGATGATGCCGGATACCTTGTGAAGTCCTGTGAGATAAACTGTTTTTTAAATGTCAGCGATTTAATTGATGAAAAACCCTTGCAGGAGCTGCGCGTGAATAGTGGGTTTGGTGGCATTGCTTTGAGGTGTGTAAGGATCTTTTTAATGGTTCATGTTTATGAGTTTATTAGGCTAAAGGGTGTTCTTGTCATTGTGTGCTGCCATTATAAGTTCATGTTTATGAGTGTATGAAGGAGCCTTCAATTTCTCTTTTGAATTCTCTGTTGCCATGTCAAAAGAGAAAAGAACAAGAGAAAAGTGAAGAGTTGAGAGAAAAGAGAAACTGAAAGATTCTTCATCCACTGTGGCGTCCTACTTTATTTAGAACATATAACGGTAGTATAGAAAGACAAGAATATCTTTTAACCTAATACACTCATAAACAGTTCACCTTTGCTTTATCATACCTTTTGTCTTGTAGGTGTTACTTATGCTTATGGAGCTGTTGTTGAATATGTTCTAATCAGATGGATCTAATTTTTTAATCAAATGTTTAGATAATTTGATTAGATCAATATCTCTGATCTCTTGTAGCTAGCATGTCTAAAAAATTGAAGCTTCTATCATGCTTCGTTGGAGTCTTAGAGCCACTAACAAGCAAAAGCACTTCTTGGAATATCTAACTTGGAACCATCTGTGATTACATTCATAAAAACTGTATCTTATCCTGGAGAGATGCACTGACTCTTATACTATATTTCATACAGTCCTGTTGGGAAACAGTGTGTCTCAAAAGAAGACTACAATTTAATCAAGAGGAAAGGATTGGCTGTTGTTGACTGTTCATGGGCACGCTTGAGTGATGTACCTTTCATAAAACTTCGGTGTTCTGCTCCACGCCTCTGTATGGTCCTTCATTTGTCAATTTATTTTCTGATTAGTCACATGTTACACAGTAGATGCAGTTAATACAGCCTTGTGGATTTTGGTGCTGAAGTACATATTCTCCATGAATCTATCTATGTTTTGGCATCTCATGTATTTATTTTCATCTCTTTTAGCAGTGTGTTGACTTTTTTCCAATTTATTTCTTGCTTTCCATAGTAACCTTTGTCAATCTTCACCTTTGGAAAATAACAGTAGTTGACAAGGAAAGGAATTGTAGAATCTACTAGACATTAATATCTTCTTCAAATTTATGCTTAGTCAAGTGCTGTCTGAGTCAAGTTCTGTCTGTCCAGTTGTTCTTTTCTTATGTGATATTTTAGGCTTCCAAAGAATCTGAAGTTGATACATGTTGCTTCAGCAAATAACATAGAATGAGTATAACACTAAAGGACCTTTTCTCTGAGTAAGTGGTTCTAGTTATGGCTCATCTGTTTTTAGCTAAACGCCTTGTGAAGTTAGCTTACTGACATTAAAAACGCTGTCTCTCCACAGCTCTTATTGTGTTATGGTGTCTTTCTGGAGTTTTGTTTTTAAATTAACCTAATTCAATTATTTGGGTTAAGAGAAATATCTGAATAGAGACCCAATGAGTATATTTAATGGGTAAAGTTTAAGTCGACTTGTATGAAGGCTGAAGCCATGTGAACTAGCAATTAGGCAAAGTATTCACAGATATTTCTTTCTCAAGGATCTGCGGTCTGTAATTAACGTGTGAATGTTTTAGAAAGGCAGTGACCGAGGTAATCTGTTTTCTATCTGTGATCAAGTTAACTTATTAAATGTTGTGAAATAGCTAAAATAGATGCAACTATCTGCTGTAGTTATAACATCAAAAGTAGTGTTCACACTTTACCCTGGATAAAATTTAACCTTCTCTTGATGATTTAGTTATCCTGAGGGATGATTTTATTTTATCAAGGTTTGGTTTCCTCTAAGTAATTCACATCTCATGCACCCCTCTAATTTCATCTGCTATATTATACTTCTTTCCTGAAAGTAACATATCAATTATAACTGCAGTGCCTTGGCTTGTAGCAGCTAATCCAGTAAATTATGGTCGACCGTGTGAGCTATCATGTGTTGAGGCATTGTCTGCCGCTCTCATAATATGGTATTTATTCTGCTCAAAGGAAACTTTTTTACTTTCCTTTTGCTATATCTATACCATGGATAATGATAGCATTATACTATAAATGCCATGGTTTGGCTCCTCATACCATCTCTTAAACACTTTTGTGTACTAAGAGCTGAAAAGTGGCGTTGATCTTTCTGAAAACAGTCTCGAGAATGATTTTGCAAGAGCACATGATTGCCATACGGCCACTGTAGTAGTCTGGGCATTGTGTTGTGTTGAAAACCAGATCCGGATATTTTAGTTAGCAGTAGAAGTTCGATTATTTTGTTTCCAGATTTTCAGGATTTTGTTTGTTAGCTTTTAGGAATTTGTTTCCTAAGTTTTAGGGTGCTGATAATTTTTTTTTAAACCAACAGATACTAACCAGATTTATGGCTAGTATATCGGCTTTTTGCTTCGGTAGTTAGCACAAAATAATTAGCGGACGAGCAGCTATAAAAGGCCGGAGGCCTCATGTAATTTCGTAGCCCTTTTTGGAGAATAAAACTTAGAACAGGTTTCTCCTAAATTTCTACATGGTATCGAGCTCGATCCTGGACCATTCTTTTCTACCACATCTCCGAGTGTTTCCACCGTGACAAAATACCCTAGAGCCACCATGGCAAGCGAGGTTGAGAGTGAAACCTCAGACCCTAAAGCTCAGAACTCTCCTTTGATTACCCAACCTATCAATGTATCCGAAGGGAACTCTTCTCATCACCGGTCATAAACTTACGGTCACAACTTCAATCAATGGTCCCATTCTGTCATGATTTTCGTTTGCGGAAAAGGTAAAGAAGATTACCTAACCGGAGTTGCCGTACAACCTGAGGCGACAAGCCCAAACTATCGAACATGGAAGGTGGAAAATAACATGGTGATGTCCTGCCGCTTGAATTCAATGACGAATGAAACAGGGGGAGAATTTCATGTATTACCAAACGGCGAAGGAGATTTGGGATGCTGTTCATGAAACTTATTCCAACAAAGATAACACCTGGCCATCTTCGAGATCAAGGGCATTCTTCATGATCTAAGGCAAGGGGAATCTTCGCACTGATTATTTTAACCAACTCATGCGTCATTGGCAGCAACTTGACATGCTTTGGAAGATATGATGTGGAGTTGTCCTGAAGATAGCAAGCGGTACAAGCAGATTCAAGATCGAGAACGCATCTATAAATTTCTGTTAGGCTTGAATCAAGAGCTTGACGAGGTACGTGGACGAGTTCGAGCATAAAGCCCTACCTAATGTACGAGAAGTTTTGCGGAGGTTAGGAGAGAAGAGACTCGGCGAAAGGTGATGCTTGGTTGTTCAAAACCAGACCAATCCAGAAAATTCTGCCTTAATAGCCCGAGGATCTCAACCATCCTACGCGAGGCACTCGGTCAAACAACAACAACCGAAAGGGTGGTCGTCCGTGGTGTGATTAACTTGGGTGGCCCCTACAGCAATTAGACATAAAGAATGCCTTCTTAAATGGGGAATTGGAGGAAGAAGTCTTTATGGAGGTCCCACCTGGAATTGACACTAAAGAGAGCTTCAACAAGGTGTGCAAACTCAAGAAATCCCTATACGGCCTAAAGCAATCACCTCGTGCTTGGTTCGAGAGGTTAACAAGGGTCGTTGAGAAGTTGAACTTCACTCGATGTCAAACGGATCATACAATGTTTGTCAAGAAATCGAGATGAAGGTAGAAGAGCAATAATGATCGTATACGTCGATGATATAATCCTAGCTGGTGACAATCTGGAGGAGATTGGAAAGGCGAAGAATATCTTGGCACAAGAATTCGAGTTAAAGACCTAGGTCAACTCAAGTACTTCTAGGTATGGAGGTAGCTCGGTCACGGAAAGGGATTGCAATTTCCCAACGTAAGTATACTCTTGATCTCTTGAAGGAAACCGGTATGCTTGGGGTGTAAACCAGGCGACAACCCCATGGATTCTACCTATAAAACCGAGATGGAAGAAGAAGGACCATTAACGGACAAAGGGAGATATCAAAGATTAGTTGGCAAACTAATCTATCTCTCTGCATACTCGGCCGGACATTGGTTTCGCGGTAAGTATGGTTAGTAGATACATGAACCAACCAACGAGAGAAGCACTGCTGAGGCAGTTTTGAATCTTACGATAGACGAAGAGAAGTCACGGAAGAGGGCTTTACTTTAAGAAAACAGAGGAGAGAAACGTGGAGATTTTCACGGATGCAGATTGGGTGGATCTCTCACGGACCGAAGGTCAACAACGGGTATTGTACCTTCGTATGGGGCAACATGGTTACTTGGAGAAGCAAGAAGCAACCCGTTGTTGCTAGGAGCTTTGTTTGAAGCGAGTTTAGAGCAATGTGTCAAGGAATATGTGAAGGCATGTGGTGAGAAGAGTCTTAAATGAACTAGGATTCACTAATACCAATCCTATGTTATTATTATGTGACAACAAAGTGCTATTGAGATTGCCAAGAACAGGTTCATCATGATAGAACAAAACATGTGGAGATCGATCGGCATTTCATCAAAGAAAAACTTGATGAAGGAATATTGAAGCTCTTGTATGTTCCATCCAATCATCAAACGGCGGATATCTTGACCAAGGTTTTATCCAGAAATAGTTTCGAGACTTATAGGTGCAAGTGGGTACATGTTGATATTAATGTCATTGATGACTTTGAAATTGCATGTGTTTGAAGTTGCTGAGCCGGCATAAATTCCTGATTCTCTCCCATAGAAGAACTATTAGGGTGCGTTTGGTAATCATTCTGTTCCCGGAAAAAATTTCTGCTCAGAAATGATTCTTTTCTATTCCATTCCCGGAAATAATTTCAAAGCATTTGAAGGCGTTTGGTAACTGCCCAAAATTTCTATTCTTGGAATAGAAAAAGAACAGAAATGCGTTTGGTAACTGCACAAAATTTCTTTTTATTAATAATATTTCAATAATATTTTGAATTTTTTAATATTTCTTTCTCTTTTTTTTTTCCTTCTTCTTCCCCTTCCTTGGCCCATGGCCAGGTCGCTGGCGCCGACAACGGCCACAAGCCGGGCCGGCGGGGGCATCGCGGCCCCCCCCCCCCCCCCCCCCCACAACAGAGGAAGTTTGTGGCTTGGGCCAGTCGCTAGATCTGGCGAGGGTAATTTGTGGCCGGTGGTCGGCGACCGGCCACAGGCCAGGAAGAAAACGAAGAAGAAAACCAAGAAGAAGAAGAAGAAAAAAAAATTATTTTCCATTTCTGATTCTTGTTCCCAGAATCAAGAAGCAACTTTTTTTTGCTTCTTGATTCTATTTCAAAACTGATTCTGGGAACAAATTTGTGCAAATTTGTGCCCGGGAACAAAAAATTTATCAAACGGATTTCTGTTCTTTTTTTGTTTTCGGGAACAAAAGAATAGAGTCAGTCACTATTTGGCAAGTTACCAAACGCACCCTTAGACTCATCAAACTTGTTGGCTTAGTGAAAGGTCTGACTTCAATTTGTGCTCGAGTATTTGAGCTATACTGTATAGGATGCTCAAAGGGGGACTAGAACTTTACCTTCATTAGATCAGAGACTTATGAGTGATACTTGAACCCTTTTAATGATGGACTATGTCTGCACAGATTCCTATCAATTGAGCTAAACAGTTTCCAAGTAAAATTTCGTTGCCACTAGTTTAAACTTTAAGAAGAGAACAATTCGTTCCTTTTTCAAATATTCTTTTAACTTGGCCAGTGCAATATCATTTTTGAGTTCTTTAATTTGTGTTTTTTCCTAGTGGGAGGTTACCATACTATATTTGTCTGTGGGAATTTGAGTTTCAACAGTATTTCACAGTTCAGTTTTGTCTCTCAATCTGTAGAAGTGATAAATTTCACAAGGATAGGTGCTTGTTTGATCCTTTCATGTTCATTCACAGTGGAGAAGAGGAAACTGCAAATTTGTTGCTGGGAAAGTTCAAGTGGGGTCATGCTTTTCTTTCTCTAAATAGGTACTGGACCCTCTCTCTCTCTCTCTCTCTCTCTCTCGCATGGGTGGTTGCATGGGGGTTTCTTTTTGTTGCTCTATTTTCATCTGTCTACTCTTGCCTTCTTTTCTTTTTGTATGCATGTGGGGAGGGTGGAATGGATGTTTAGGACTGGGGATGATTTCTGTGGAGGCATTATTCCTCTGTGGCAATCTTATTGTGGATCTATATTCTTGTGTATTCTTCCAGTACTGGATAGGTCCAGCCATTCTAACCAGTTGGGCTACGAACCCACATTTGAGTCCAGACCAATTGTCTTCTATAGGATACTAGTGAATCAAGTGGACCACTGGACCCTGTTGAGGTAGTTGGCTGATCAGCCAGATAAGGCTTTGACAAAACTTAAGAGAGCATGTGTAGAAAAGCACCTAAACCCCTGCTTTTTTCAATGGTTGAGGAATATTCTACAATTTATCAAGGCTTCAATTTAGAGCATTCTCTTAGTAACAAGGCATATTTACTTATTCTATATGTGTATACACTTTACACAAATTTTCAAATGAAAGGAGATGGGAATTGAACTTATCCCCTTAAGAAGCCAATGAGTGAGATTTTGTCACTTGGAGCAGATGCCAGTTTCGTCAGGAGCCATTAGGGTTAGTATCTTTAGCCCCTAAAAAATCGATGTTATCAGCTGATGGCTCAATCAGTGGACTCATGAATTTTCCCATGGTCTTACTCCAATCCGATTTTGAAAACATAGATGCTGGGTGGGTTATTTATTTATTTTTGGTCAGAAGATACTGGGTTATTAGGTTGTGCAATGTGTGGGGATTTTTCTAAGCACATAATAATAGGATTATGTCTCTTCCATCATTTACACAATCACAGTGGAATCATTGAGATTACTGAGACATTGGCAGAAAGCCAGCTTGGCCTGTCACAAATTCCAAGGAAGAAAGGGTTAGTTGTGAAATTATCGAAAAAGAATGTCTAGTGCATTAGTTACTTTTTGAGGGGAGATCCTGCTGATATGGTGCAGTAATTGCATGTTGCCTTCATAACCAATTTTATAACCAGCTTGGGGGTTTATTTTAATGCAGGGAACTTCTCAAAGCATACTCTCAATGTGAAAATGGTGCTGATATTATTTCGGTCCAAAATTCATGGCTTTCCCAACAGAAAGAAATTCCGAAGGTCCCAGCCGACGTAGAAGGTATTCTCCGTTCGTTGATTGGAAATTCTTCCTTATATTTGTCACTTAAGAGCCATATTAGAGGAGAGTCATGCGTGCAAATTGTTACTCTGTTATGGTACAACTTTTATGGCATTACTAATAGGGAATCGTGAAAAATACATGACTAACGTGGAACCATGAACATTCTGGCTGGGCTAGTTCCACTATGTTTGCTTGCGAAAAAAGAGTTAATTATGTGAAAGGTTACTTTGTATGGACCTGACAAGTTCAGCAACTATTTATGAGTTCTCTCTGACCTTGTCAGATGACTTTTAAGATTGTTGACCCTATGCTGCAATTTTGATTTGTGTATCAATTTTTTATCACACAGCCTTCTAGAGTACATGTCAGTGACAATGCTTGTCAGTATGTGCTGCTTTCTGAAAATTTATTTCACTGTTGATTTCTAGATGATAACAATTTGAATTCATACGTTTTAGCACTTCATGCACAGCATCAAGCAAACAGCTCAGTCCTCTAAATCGCCAGCGGACTGTTAGTGGAGATTAGGGGTGTAATTGAATTGAGTTGAGTCGATATAGTGCCATGCTTGAGCTCCGTCGAGTAAAAAAAATAGGGCTTGAGCTCAACTCAAATAAAGATTCCAAAATACTCGAGCTTGACTTGATTATAATAGAGTTACACATAAACACGAACTTGAGCTTAATAAGCTTGGTTATTTTCCGTTCATGTATACGTCGATACAACATGTAACTTTAAGGACTTCTGTTTTTTTTTTTTTTTTAATTATGAAATATTTCGCCAAAATATGATAGAAGCTCTATTAGGCTCCGAGCCTATTGAGCTTCATATTGGAGAGCTCGAGCTCGACTTGACAAGATACTCAGGTAGCTTTAGCTCAACTCTAAATTAGGCTAGTCAATCTCGAGTAATCTTCGAGTTGAGCCCGAGCTACTCGCGAGTATCTTGACTCGATTACACCCTTAGTTAGATTCTAAGTGGGATAATCTATTGCAGATTGGAAAATTGATATATTTTTTCAATGGGTAAAAAAGAATATTTAGTTGAGTTCCAATGTGTGTAAAGTCTCTTTGACAAGAGTTCCTCTCATGGACTTAATGTCTCCTCAAAGAAATTGTATATCTTATATAGTTACTTTGACAGTGTGCTGTTTTCTCCTCACATATGTATTAAGTTTGTAATTGAATTTGAGTACATTATGTAGTAAACTTCAAGTAGAATATATCATCAATACAGCTAATTTAACAGATGTTACTCAATTTGTTTTTGAATTTGTCATGATAGAAGAAATCTATGAAGAATGTAAGTGGTGATATAGAATGTTTGCTATTTAATATATGAAACAGAGTCACCTAATAAGTTAGTGCTGAGAAATTTGTTGTTGTTATTAAGAAAACAATATAAAACCCTAGATGGCATGGTTTTTGAGGTTGACACGTCGTGTAATCACTTTCTTCCTTTCTATCACTCCTTTAATTTACATCAGATTAGATTATCATTTGACCCCACTGCATCGTGTTTCTTAGATTTAGTCAAGAATTTTCAATTCCCTGGTCTGCTTTGTGTATATTTTCTGCTTCTGCTAATGATTCACATAGCGTAGCATTATGAACAAGCAGGACCTATTGGCGGTGATCTTTCATTGGTGTGCTGAATGATACTGACAGAGTCCAGATGTTTTTTGTATATTGTTTATTTATCTCAACATATGTATATAAGCTGTGTATATAATGCAAGCCTTAGAAACTCTCATGTGATTTTCCATGCAGTTATACATCCGGAAATTTTTCTTTTTTTGTGGTTCATGTTGTGTATCACCGATATCATCTACTTTAGCAATACCAGCGATTCTAATGCAGTCATTAGAACTTTTTTTTTTGGTCGAACAGTCATTAGAACTTAGAAGTCCTATCTTTTTGTCTATATTATCTTCTTCTTTTGCTGGCAGCCATTAAAATAAACTAGGGAATCACTAACTAAAAGTTTTTGCCCTCTTCGTGTTTGAAGTTACTAGAGGTAATTTCCAGGCCAGAAATGAGAGATACCTTTCTTCTTGAAGACAGATTCTCGATTTACTTTTATTTGATATAACACTCCTTGGTTTGGATTTTGGCCTTTGGAGTTGATTTGCAGATTTATTAGTGGGATGCATTTCAGTGTTCTTGAGCTTATTAAAAGGAAAATTAGAAAATTCTCGCTTGTTTGTGGCAGCAAATGGCTCTGTGTTCCCTTTAATATCGTGGGAACATTTTTTGGAATTGTATGATAAGTAGATGAGAAATTTCTTTTTTAACTTACATATTTAGTTTTTTTCAATTTTGTTCACGTAGTCCATTGATAGAGGAGAGTCAAGAGGTTAACAATGATCCAGTGCTTCTTTCTTTGCTACTCACGAAGAATTGCCCTAGAAACTTTCAATCATTTGAATATGATCTCATAATCTAACCATGTTCACTCTCTGCCTCCACAGGGACGGCCACGGAATCCCATGACGAGGACGAGGACGAGGACTCGTGTGATTCTGAAGATGGGCTTCCACCTCTGGAGAGGAACATGAATCATTTAGTGCTCCAGGACAGTGAAGATGAGAGCGAGTAGCTGTTGTTGACTATGGTCCGTTCATGCTTTCGCTGTGACAGTGTCCCATCTCTCTTTTTATCTTCTTAGTTGGCTTCTGCTCTGTATATGGAGAAGTTTTAATTAGCGGGTTTGGTAGGATCAGCTTTCATGTCATGGTAGGACGTTTTTGTGCTTGAATTGTGGATCATGTTGAGCTGCTCCCTGCCATGCGGCAGTTATCTGAGTAAGGTTGTTTGAAACTTTTGTGCATCTGCTGGTGAGTGAGCTTGATAGAGAAAAGAAAAGGCATGGGAGTGAGTAGAGTTTTGCTCAGAAAGAAATCTTTCAGGAGTTTCTTCTCCAAACACATTGTAAAATTCTCCTTTTCTCTTATGCACCCCATGTAAGGCACTTTGCTATTGAGAGGAGAGAGAGGATTGAATGGATTTCGACCTTTCTCAGAAAAGCCCCATTTAAAAAGCGTGGGTTGTGACTATCAAGACTTTGCTACATTTTCTGGAAATCGAATGTGATCTCTGTACATTGCTCGAAGAATATCTCTGTTTCCATCGAGCTTTTTCCCTTTTTTTTTATTGTGAATTTTCGTGTTTTTGTTTTTGTGGAATTTGATAGAGATGCTTGAGTCAACAAGTTTCTGCAGCATTCTTTCTTGCTGGGGAAATTTCATGTTTTGATTTAATTTTTTTTTGGTCAGAATGTTATGATTTAATTAAGGAGGAGACAGCCTCATCGGTTATATGATTTGATGCCTCGGTCATGCGTTTCATGTTGCTTAAGAGAAATGCATGAAAGGTGTTTGTTAAAATGCCAAGCTAAGCTGTTCTCGTGTTATTTCACTTTTTCAGATGACACTTTTCTTGAAAAAGATTTTAAGTCTGAGATGGGTTATGTGAAAATAATGTTTTTTTTTACTGAGTAGCTCTGCCTGACTAAAATTTATTTCGCAAGGGCGATAACAGCGGATATCGTTTTTAGTGACAACCACCAAATAAATGATTCATGGAGTTATTTCGTGAAACAAACACACCGGTAGGGATGAGCAACCGAGTCGGTTTAATCTGAAAACAAAACCGATCTAGTCTTACCTAACCAATTTCAGGAAGGACTGAGTACGCTCCTAGGTAAAAAATTGGAAAATTAGCTTTCATCAGTTCGATTCTCGATTTTATACGACAAACCTTTAAGTGGAGAAGCGGCTTGTAGCTCTTTTTCTTCTTTTCTTTGGTTAAAAAAGATGGATGGATATGTTGGGAATGGTTTTTGAACTTGAAAAGGGTAGAAAATCCATTTATCTCTTAAACTATGTTTTCATAAAATAATAATTATAACACCTTAAGTTTGGGCCGGTTCTCCGGTGGAACTTTAAAACTAGCTGGTTTGGTCACAATTTTAAATCGCAAATCAACTATGACAAAATAAATTTCGAGTTCTTGATCTCACTTCGAAACCGGTCACCCTCGATCATCCTCGCACTTAATATAAGGCTTTATACTTCTATGGGCAATCAAAACTTTCATATCTCGCTCATTTGAGCTGTAATTTTTATAAGATCATCGTTTAAGTGCCATAACCAACTTTTTCCATGTCATGTCAGGTCGGATTTTTGACACTTGAGTCGTCCATAAATTTTAAAAGTTGGTAACACTTGAGCGGTCTAAAAAAAAAAATAAAAATGCACGACACTTGTCCTTATCCACTTTTCTTGTTACCTTGAAAAATAAAAAAAGGAACTTCTTCCGATTGATGGCCAGAGAAAAAAAAACCAGAAGGGAAAGTACCAAATTACCATTAGACCCCGAGGAGGGAGAAGAGTACGGAAGGAGGCCCCGCATACAGAACAGAAACAAGGGGGCAATCTCGGGTATTCAGGACCAAAAAAAGAATTACCGTCGGCTTTTAGGATTTGCCCCCCTCCCCCTCCCCCTCCCTCTCTCTCTCTCCTCTTCTACCCGCACAAGCCACGAGAGCAAAAGAGGAAGAAGAAGAACCCTAGAAACGCATCCTTCCCCCCCCTCCGGAAATGCATCCGGAATCGCGATAACAAGAAACACCTCCGCCGCTCGCCACCGCTTCCGCCCCCCCGATCCGCGCTCGCTCCCGCCGCGGGGCGCATCTCCGATCCGCTTCGGGGCGCCCGTCGACGCCGCCTTCTCGCGCTTGTGTTTTTCCTCGTGCCTTTTCCCCTTGCCTCGCTATAGAGTGTTGTTCTCTCTCTCTCTCTCTCTCTCTCTGTGTTTACAGGCGACGGGAGTGAGGGGAGTGTTGGGGGAAGTGGGGGAGCTGGGGTTTTGTTTTGAGCTTCGGTCGTTTGGGGACCTCGGTACTCTCTCGCCTGGGCTCCTGATTGGGTGGTGGTGCTGCTGCTGGGTTTTGGGCCGATTCCTCGTTCGATTTTCGGTAATAGGCGAGGCTCGCTGCTGCTCAGTTAGGGTTTCCTCGACTCCGAGGCGGGCTTCCTCGTAAGTTTGTGGGGGGGTCGATGTTTCTCCTTCGCGGTTGCTTTCCGTGGTGTTGGTTATCTCCTCTCTTTTGTCCGCGGAGGTGGTCCCTTCGTTGTTTGCGGCTCGTTAGTGTTAATGCGCGAATGCCGTAACCCTTTTTTTTTTTTTTGTGTGGTTTTACTGTTATTTTTTTGTCTGTGAAGATGGTATTGGATTGTTGCTCGTTTGGCTGTGTCGGTGCGAGGATTTTGGAAGCGTTTAGATGGGGATTTTGTGATAATCGAGTGCCATCTGAAGAATTTCTCGCGATAGCGAGTTTTCGGGGGCTTATTTTTTTCCCCGCCGTGTCTGGTTATCAGTGTAGACATGCTTGTCATTCATCGTTTTCTGTGGTCTTGTGTTAGAGCCTTTAAATTTTTGGGCTTTTGTTTTGTGCTAATGTATACTTTATATTTGATTAACTTTGTACAGAAAAAGTAACCTGAAATGTAGTGATATACAAATTCTGTGCATGTCGAGGTCAAGTTTTGATTTTTACGTTGGCAATGTAGAAATTGGTGCATTTTTTTTTGTCTGGGGCTTGTATTTCTACTCTTTCTATTTGATTTGGACATGTCGGGTGTATTTTGGAATGCACTAGCAGTAAATTCCATTATAGGTAGTTTTTAGTCATGATTTAGTACTCACAAATTTGCAGTTTTGGCGTTGGAAATGAATTGATTTAGTTTAGTTGTTATTGCTTGGTTTCTTTGGTAATATTAGTTTGCTTGTATTGTTTATTTTACTCTCTCTCTCTCTCTCTCTCTGTAGGGGTTAATATGTCTTATCTACTAGATGCTTTAACTATTTAGTTGCCTAAAACCTACTGCATTTTGGGACATATGTATTTAACTTGATTTTGGCATACATGAAGAATCCGTTTCATTGTTGGCAGTGTAGATGCACTGATAATACTCTTATTTCCGATTTAGATTAGCTAGTGTGAATATTAACTTGTATAATGTAGCGTGAGAATGGCCTTGTAAGTTCTTTGGAATTTGGTCTATGGAATACCTATTTATTTATCTATTGCTCGTAGACTTTCCAATTTGGATTCTCTGACAATCTTACTAAGGTTAGTGGCACTGATACTCATGATGCCAGAATTTCTATTTATGGTCCTTGAATTTCTGAGTGAGGTCCTTTTTAATCACGGTGAGGAGCTGACATATTGGGTCAATAGAATTGATTTGAGGAAATGGACTTTTTTAATACTCTGTTGGGTAGGCTGGAAAGTTGTACTTATTTGTAGGACAGCTTCATGGTTGCATGTTTTGTTTGCCTTATCATGTTGCTTCTGGAATCTGATGACATAGTGACTAAATCTGCTTGTTGGTAATTTGATAGGTTGTGAAAGGTCAGTCATATCTAAGAAAAAAATTGCAATTTTAGAAGATGTCATCATATCCAATTCTCGGCAACCGGCCTATTGACCAGTGGAAGGTTACAGAGTTGAAGGAAGAGCTTAAGAGACGGAAGTTGACTACAAGAGGTCTGAAGGATGATTTGGTAAAGCGATTGTCTGAAGCAGTTAATATTGAAAGGGAAAATGCTGAAAAAGAAAAGCAAGTGGAAACTGAATTTATGTCTGATCCACAGCCTGAAATTATTGCTAAAGATGGAACAGATCCTGTTGCATTTCAAAGTGCAAAAAGTGTGGACGATGGTGATAAAAATAATGATGAGTTGGTTTTTAATGATGGTGATGATAGAAATCGGAGAGAGGTTGATGCTAAAGTTCAGATTGATATCAATGACAGTTTTCCAGTCCTAGATCAACCTGCTCCAGAAGGGGAAAGTACAACTGTTGGTCATTTGGGAAAAGGGGAGGAGGAGCTGGTTTTGGGGAAAGGGGAGGAGCTGGTTGTTCCTCCTATTGTTGAAGCCAGCATACCAATCACTGTGACCAGTATGCCCGATGTGACATCAAGTGACCAAGATCTGCTAAATCTTGAGACAAAGGAGGAGAACAGAAATTCAAAGATCGAGCTGGAGACTGAGCATTTGAAGCCTCCGCAAGAGGATGTCGTCCTCGATTCACCTGCCCCAACCAACCAGGTATCTGAGGTCAGCCCTTCTTTAGGGTTTCAAGTAAGATCTGATTCTATTTCTGCTGATTCTGTGTCAATTAATGAAACGAATGAATTTAAGGATAATATAATTGCTGATAATGTAAAATTAGAGCTAGATGTTAAGCCGGAGATGGTGGAAGTGGAACCATCGTCCAGCAATGTCGTCCCAGTTGGTGGTGAATCACGTCTTATGGATGTTGATGAGCCACCTGAGAACAAGTTAGCTGTTGAGGTTAAAGAGGACAATGATGCTGCAAATGCAGACATGAACAAAATCAGTGAGATTACGGATGTGGGGGACTCGGAAAAGTTAAATTTAGATCGAAGTTCAGGTGATGATTCACTGGACGAAGATGTGTTGGATAGTAAGCACGTTGACTCGAAGCCTGTCTCTGATGAAGTTGGAGGTGGAAGTGAGAAAAAGGAAGTCACGCCTGTTAAGGAGGAAAGCCCTGTTGATATCATGGGTGATGCTGACACGAAGGATGTCAGTGTGGAGAGAAATGGTCAGCCTTTGCTTGCAGAGAAACGAAAGATTCTTGGTATGCCTTTTACGAAGAAAAAGTTTTCGACCTGCTTTGATGTAGCAGTTTCTCTCATGCATGTGTGCACATTCCTTGATTAACCATGTCCTTTGCCTGACATTGTTGCCTCAATCTGACAGATTTTTGTAGCACAGTATATCTAGCGTCTTCAGATTTCTGAATCTGAACAAGGCTTTTGTTTTTTAGAGAGATTTATCTCTGGGCGGTTTCAGTTTGGGTTGTTCTTTTTTCTGTTATTGAGACTTCTTTTTTGCTTCTGTGCAAGTCAGCTTGCTGATAAACAACAGAACAGATTGATCAGTATTGCTGAATTGGATTCTGCTACTTTTTTGCAATAATGTAGTGTCCAAACACTTGCTTATCTAACAATGTCGAGTAAGATAAAGATAGAAAAGAAGAGACCAACCTGTAGAGGAAAATATTTGGGACTTGACTACTCACGAAGATAAAGGGGATGCAAATTGGTAATGTAATTAATATAGGAAATGGCTATTGTTTGTTCTGGAGCAATCAAGAATATTCTGATCATTATAGGGTTTAGTGGATAGTTGATTGCTGATGGAGATGTTTATTGGAGTTTCTAAGAAGTTCTCATACCATTGATATCTGTAAGCATCGCTATAATTAGAGTCATCGACCGGTGTGATACTATTTTATAAGAATTAGTTTTCTTAATCATCACACTAAGGTGTAGATTGTATCGGAAAATACTTAATAAATTCTTGATGCTTGGTGGACACTTGTTCGTGAGTAACTTGTCTATCATTTAGATGTGTTTCAATTTAGTAGGTTGATGAGAACGATCAGTTGACTCTTGTATGACAATGCAGATCTTGTTTGATTTAGTTCTTGAATATAAATTTTAATTTCTCTGTTTCTGCTGTTGATGTTGGCTTGGTTTTCTATGGCTGCAAAGTGTTTCATTTATTCTTTTTGTGCGCGCGTGCATGTATAGACTTAAATGTTTTTGTTAAAGTTATCATCCAAAAGCATGGAAGCTGTTTGTCTCCTCACCTGTTTACTGTTAAAGCCATATGATAAAACAAGCTTATTATATATAATTGGGGATATATATGCTTGAAAAAGATCGAGCTTTTTTAGATCATTTTGATTTGATAACCTGCTGTTTTCAGATCAAGGAGGCAACAGAAGTGCTGACCCTGCAAAGAGGCAGCGTAGGTGGAAATCTGAGAGCCTCAAAGATATTGAACCACAGCGCTCAAATGTTACACCTGTAACAACACCTAGGGATGGAGCCCAGACCCATTCCTTTAGGCCTACCTTCTCTAGATCTAACTCTGCAGTTAGTGATGACACGCCTAAGGAACGAACTGGTAAATTTTCGTTATTTCATTATATTGAGCATGTTCGACACTATACAAGTTACTTTATCATGCTTAAAATTATTTCTTTTTGTTTTGTTTTTCTTTTTTAATTTTTGGGGACAGTTCCACCACCACAAAAACCTCCAACTACTTCCCTCAGAATCGATCGGTTTTTACGTCCCTTTACCCTGAAAGCTGTCCAAGAGCTTTTAGGAAAAACTGGTTCGGTTACCAGCTTCTGGATGGACCAGATTAAGACCCACTGCTTTGTTACGGTAAGATCTCTCTTATTCTCTCTGTGGGGTTAAGGATTCGCGTTTAATTATGCACTTTGTGTGGCAGAGTACAGTGAACCTTATGGATTTTTTGTGTTGATTTCTTTTTTGCCGATCAGTATTCCTCCGTCGAAGAAGCCATCGAGACGCGAAATGCTGTGTATAACCTTCAATGGCCCCCAAATGGTGGACGCCAACTTGTGGCTGAGTTTGTTGACCCCCAAGAAGTAAAAGCACGGCTGGAGGCTCCTCCAACTCCAACACCTAAACCAGCTCCTCCACCAGATTCAGCTCTGACCGCACCTATTAATATCGGTCCGACTGCTGTTGCTCCACCGATGGTGCAGCCCCAGCCTTCTCCCCGCCAACTGTCTCTTAGGCAGCAGCAGTTGCCTCCACCACCACCTCTTCCGCACCCACAAGCAAAGGCTTCGCAAGAAAGGGATCGGCTCCCCCTCCCACCACCGCCTCCTCCACTTTCTGAGAAAGCCGACCCTACCATCGTCACTCTAGATGTTCTCTTCAAGAAGACCAAAGCCTCTCCCCGAATTTACTACTTGCCATTGTCCGAGGATGAGGTTGCAGCCAAATTAGCGGCACAGAGGAGAACCGGCCGGCAGTAGGGACTCTGCTGGCTTTGAGTTTTCAGTTAGTAGAAATGTTTAATCGTTGAACGAGCATGGTATTATTTAGTTAGGTTTGTGCAGATACCTAGGTGTTGGGACTTTCTAGGCCAGGGTTGTGCATGAGGATCTGAGTATATTGAAGTGGATTCTCTGGAACACTTCTTCTTATCTCGAATCTTGTCGGGCCGCGTCGGAATTCCTCTCGAGGGGTTTTTGATAGCTCGATTCGATTCGATTGGTTGTCTTCGAATCTTTTGTTTCAGGTCAAATGAGAAATTCTATGAATCTCCGCTGTTGAGGAGTGAAAAAACTTCTAAAACAATGCCATGTATTATTAGGGTATGTAGTTTCTTGGTGTTCTCTCCATTTCCAGGATGTCCAGAACTCAGACTTCGAGCCAAAGCCAGACAGTCCTCTCTCTGTCTTCTCACGTTGGACTCGTGAAAGTCGAGTGGTCGATGAGCATAGATTTGTACTCTTCGGAGGGTCTAAATTTTAAAATACATCGTCGCGATGTATCAAAAGGGAGGTCTTAGCCTTACACCAAGATTCATCACGTGTCTTTTGGTCGTTGGTCTGTGTGGTCTTAATTGATAATGAGAAATGAAGAAGTGGCCAATCTGAAGCTGGGTCGCTTTGATTAGGGGACGGCCTCGAGTTCGAATTCTATTGAATTGACCTTTGTATCATTTGCCGCACGAGGCCTCCGGCCTTTTTTTTTTTTTTTTGTTCTACAATATTGTTCATTTCTTTTTCTTCTCAACAAACATAAAAAATTTGTGAGCAAAAAAGCGCATAATGTTATCCACCATTTCCATCAGTAAATGTATTTATTTTCTTATAGCGGTACAGCGCAGATAGTTTTCTAATTTTACATTTATAATTCGATATATAACTAACATATTTTACTCTTTTTAGGCAAAACAAATATAGGTTTTAATTAGGATAAACAGAGTAAGCACTCAAATTGTTCAAAATATTTCGCTAACATTACGATTTTGCTTTTCTTCAAAAAATTTATTTATCTTCCACACCCATTACGAAATATTTGGACAAACAATCTACTACTCTACACCATTCATGACTTGAACCTATAAGATTGACGAGCTCGTCATAGTAATTCCACCAAGATATAAGATAATAAAAGTAAAAGACCCTCGAACATGTAAAGAAAAGGAATCCTTCAAAAACAAAAAAAAAATACTAAAATGCCAAATTTCCTAACTGATAGGGATTGTAAAGGGCAAAAAATAGTAATCACAAAAGTCAAATATATATATATATATATATATATATATATATTTTTGGTCGAAAAGAATATATTAAAAAAAATAGAAAATCATAGCAAACAGTATATTAATCGAGAGAAATCCCAAACACCGTCGTCTTCCCCTACGCTCTTCGCAATTTGAAATTTTGAATATTAGGGCTCGCCCAGTTTCAGTTTCTTCCGCTCGAAGTCTCTCCCTCCGCCATCTCTCGCAGCGCCAGCGCTTCCGGTAATCGATCCCCTAATCTCTCCTTCTCTTTCTCTGTTCTGGGATTTCGTATTCGTTTTCTGGGTATCACGCGCTTTGCATCTGTGAACCGACGCGGGCGTTCTCGCTGATGATCGTGTCCTGCATCCTGGTGCCTCGAATTCGCTGTACCGCGCGCTTCTCTCGGCTTTTGTGAGCATTTTTCGAAGTGGGCTCGGTGTGGTTTGATTGTTGGCACGAAATATTTTCATGGGGTGTGATCTGTTTCCCGAGTTTTGTCATTGCGGTGCTCTTTGCGACTCGGCTATAGTTTTTCCTTAAGTAGTTAGGTTGATTGGGCATGACCCAGATTCCTGTTGTCTGATGATTTTGCCTGTCATGGGTCTCTCTTGTCTGGTCTGGCTAGTAATGAACTTTTGCTTGTTAACAACTGCTTCCGCAGGTTTGCTGTTGTTGGCGAATGATTCGCGTTTCCCCCCCCACAATTATCCCCTTGTGTTATGTCATTCTTGTCTCTGGCCAATCATTTGGTTTCTGATCCTGTGCTTTATTGATATGTGGTGGACCGCTTGTCCCACCTATGGCTCCTGCAAATTGTGAATGCCGAAGTATTGTCCCGTCTAGTTTTAACTTACTTGGTAGGATCATCATCTGTCTAGGCTTGAAGTAGACAGCATATTTTCTGTTTTGTTATGGAGAAGTCTTCTAGAGTATTGAAATGAATCTAGTTGGAAGTGCTGCGAAGTTATCCCTGGTGGGTTGACCATTAGTGCTGATGTTATTTGTAGCTTCATGCCGTGTTTATTCTAGAGATTCTGTCACGATATATGTTTTCTCAGCCTGCCATTGTTAGTTTTTGTTTTCTTACGAAATTGATCAGCCGCTTAAGTAGGAGTTTTATGAAACTACTGCCTGGTAGTCTACTTACCGAGGAGTATTACGTCCCTTGAAATCCTTGCCTAGGCCTTGTTGGCCTACTGAGCCTACTATCTTTAACGGTTCTAATTCACAATTTTGCATACTACTTTTCAAAAGAAGAGATGTGGGCAAATGTAGGTCAAGTAGTAGATCTAAAATAAGAATTACGTTTCAAAAATTTGTCCAATTTTGGAGAATCTTTTATATTTTGTAAAGCTTCTGGCTCAATCTCATCTGTGTTGTACAGGTGATATAAGTTGGTGGAATGCAATTTGGAAGTCTCTTTGCATGATTGACAAAAGATTGGCATTTTACTATTTGATCTTACTATCCCACTTTGTAGGGCAAATGGCATTAATATCATGCCCTTTTCCAACATGTTCTCTTGCGATTTATCGTTATTGTTTTACTGCTGCAGCAATCAAGCATTGAAGGATGGCGACCAGATCAGCAAACATGAAAGGTTTCTTCAAACAGAAGAAGAACACAAAAGCCACTTCCACTAAGAAGGGCTCTTCCAAAAGATCACCAACTAATGCATCAACTATTGGTTCTAATGTGACCCAACCGCCTGCCCTCATATCCCATGGCTCCCTTAACCTGAAAGGTCTCCCTCCTCTCTCTCTCTCTCTCTCTCTCTCTCATATTTCATCTATGATCCTAGTTTTGTCATACTGTCATGTGGTCCTGTGGACTTGTGCCTGTTTCACTGAATAATGGTTCGCTACTGGGTTTTCTGAGGAAATTCCAGGTAGATGCATGATGTTTTACAAAATAGGACTTGCTTGGTAGAAAGCATAAAACAGTGTGAAGGCTGCTTATGAGAAAACAACTTAGGCTCCGTTCGTTTGGCGGAAAATATTCTCCTTTTGGAAAATATTTTCCCGGAAGTCATTTTCCTGGAAAATGTTTTTCCGGAACATAATTTTCCGGTGTTCGGCGACCAATATGAAAAAGTTTCGGAAAATATTTTTCGCCGGCGACTGGCGGCGGCGTTCGGCGGTGGCGTCCGGCGGCGGCGTCCGGCGGCGTCGTCCGGCGACCGACGGCCAACATCCGGCGTCCGGCGGCGGCTGGCGACCGGCAGTGGCGGCCGGCGACCTTAGTGAAGAAGAAGAAGAAGAAGCTCCGGAAAATGATTTCCGCTTTTGAAGAAGCGGAAGTCATTTTCCGTAGACTTAGGCTATTTTGTGAGGGGGGAAGGAAAATATTTTCCCACGGAAAACGTTTTCCGCCCCCCCGAACACCGGAAAACCCAGAAAATATTTTCCGGAAGAATATTTTCCGCCAAACGAACGGAGCCTTAATGTTTGACAATTTCTTTTTCTGCTCAAGAAAGTTTAGCACTCTTTTTGCTAAAGTGGGTGGTCTATGATTTTGCAGATGATCACAATCAAGTAGAGGAAGTGCTGAGGCAGTTTGACATGAACATGGCTTACGGACCATGCCTTGGAATGACTCGACTTTCTCGCTGGGAGCGTGCTCAGAAACTCGGTTTGAACCCTCCGAAAGAAGTCGAGGTCCTCTTAAAAGGTGGAAGAGTAAGTTCTGAGTGCCTGTGGGATGGGCGCGTCTAGAACTATAAATTTTTGGGATCTACTGCTTTCTGTTTGTGATATATTGTGAACTCTCAAATAGTACCTCCAGTCGGCATCCCCAGTTGTCAGGCGCCCAGCTGTGCCCTTCTGTCTCGACACAAACAACGGCCAGTTGATTTATGTGTAAAGGATCTGTTTCTCTGATTAGTTTTTTATGCCAGTTAACTGAATTCTCATTCTTGGAGGCATGTTACACTGGGTTGGCTTTGGTGAAATCGATTTGGGTGAACATTAGTACAGTTTTTGTTGTATCGGTCAGTTTCTTATGATCGCTAACATCGATTTCAATCAATGGTATGCCGCACTAAAAGCTAAAACCTGTGATTTTGGACAACTTAAAAGACAATCGTATGATTTTTATCTTCTCTTTCTTTGACATGTCGATATCTGTTTATATCCTCTGGTCGGCGATCTCGTGATGTGTTGTAAGTCTGCCCTCGAATGACCAAATGCCAAAAAGCAAAATGCAAGAACTCATATTTTCTGGAGAAAAATTATCGTACTTTACAATTGACCCATTAATAAGAACGAACTTTTGCTTGAAAGATAAAAATATCCATGAATTTATAACTTCGTGAATTTAATAATCCGGCTGTTTTCGTCGCCAAATGCGTCGTTAATTCTATTCTTGTCAAATCCCACCAAGAAATGATGGACAAGAAAAAGTCGAACCTTGAAGCAATATAATAAGAATGGGAGGATTCAAGCTCCTTTATCTTAGGTAATGTTCTTATGCTTCTTCTATGCAAAACAAAATAATATTATACTGGAGCGATCCACGCCAAATGATCTCCACAAGGAGAATTTCAACCCTAAAATTTTCCCCTTCAAGTTCCCTAAATGGGCCCTTGCAATTTAGATCAACTTTCATAATTTTGTCATTGAGCGATGGATTGAGTTTTAACTAGAAGTAGTTGAGATTATTACAATGTGATTCATTCACTTTTTCACACACTTTCTCATCCTCCATTTTTCAGACGACATGTCTTAGGCCAATCTTGTCACGTAAATAGTAGAACACTCTATTTAGCGCTCGTCACATATCCAGGTGGAGGCCACCAATTAGTCCCTTTATCTCTCTCTTATGCACCTCTCCTTTCTCTTCTTCTTCACCGTTCTTCAATCCCTCTGTCTCTCTCCTCTCTTCTGCACCTCCTAAGGCCAGACCAGCGGCCGATCCCTTCTTTGGCACGACTCCACCATTGAGGTCGTCTGCCGCCCTTGCGGCTGCCCCCTTAGGTCCAAGAACAAGCCCAAGCCCCCCTGTAGTCATCACCCGCGACCCCAAGCCCTCCCTCAACCCCTGCATCCTCGAGATCTCCTGCGGCTCCGATGTTGTTGCCTCCTTCCAGAGGTCATCAGCCACCGCCCCGGGCCCAAGAACAAGCCTAATCCCCCCCCATCGTCATCAACCACGACGATCCCGCGCCCTCTCTTAGCCCGTGCATCCTCGAGGTCCCCTGTGGCTCCCATGTCGTCGCCTCCCTTCACTGCTTCCGGATTTGACGAGGGCTCGTCAGATCCGGCAGAAGGATTGATCAAAGGAAAGGGATTGATCTTGTAAACCTCTCGCCTTAGAACGTTGCTAGTAGCATTGTATGACTCGTCAAAACAAAGGTGGTCCAATTCCCCAACCCAAAAAAAATCCCAGTCTTTCTTAGCCGTACGCACAACGGGAAGGCGTCAAGCGACATCGCCAATCGCTGCTCTCTAGACTAGACCACTATACTAAGTTATCATCGGTCGTCAACTCCAATGTCTCTCGTCTGCAATTTTGGCAGATTATTGCTCCCAGATTCCGTCGTCAAACACTTCGCCATCGTGTCCCCACACTCGACACCCCAACTTGCCTTTGCATGTTTTACTAATGTAAACGCGATTCCGATAGTGTGGTCCCTCCTTAACAAAGGAGCGAAAAGGAATAGAAAAGATCAAAATCAAAGACGCCTCTGGTTAGTAGGGACGGACATTCCCGGAGATACCACCATGAATCCAGGGTCTATGGTTGTTTATTGTCAAATCGGCCAACCAAATCTTTGTTGTACTCTCTTTTTTAACAAGAACATTACAAAAGTAAGAGACTGGTAAGAAGAAAACATTTCAATTCACTTCGCTTAGGTATACAAAGACCGCGTTTAGTCGAGCTTCTAGGTTAAAAGGTTTGTTGGTCTGTTCGGAATGCAAATAATATGACTGCCGGTGATGGCTGGACACCGGCGCGCTAAATGTGGCATGGTCGACTCACATAACCCCTAGGCAAAGGTCGCGTGACCTCGGCAAGGGCTGCCCAGGGTTGCGACCTTAGGGTGCCCTCGTCAGTGCTAGATCAGGCACCATTGGTCGTTGCCAAGAGTTGCGCGACCTCTACCCGCGCAGCCTTATATCCGGCTCGTTGGCAACGTCCCGTGAGGTGAAAATTGGTGAGAGCATTTTCGGAATTTCAAAAATTTGGTGAGGGCAAAGTTGGAGGGAAAAAATGCATGAGCATTTTGAAAATGCTAAAGTCCGAAACTAGATAGGATGTGTCTTGGGCTTAAGCGACTTTAGAGGACTTTTATAAATACAATGCATTTCCCCAAGCTCTCAAAAAAAATTTCCAAACGATTTGACTTTTACCCTAGGGCTTTAGAGGTCACAACCAAAATTTGTGTTAAAATCAAAACCTGGTCACAAGTGACTAGCGCTAACAATTCTCTCTTGACATTACATAACGATATCTCGCTCCCTACGGAATATTCGGATTAAATCATAACTACTCCAACACTCGTAACACAAAGGCTAAACATCTCTCCACATGAGATATGCCAAGTCCACTAGGCATTATCATAAGGATCCCACGCTCCTTACGAAATGGTCGAATTGATTCATAACCACTCCCCGGGTCAGAAGTCTCTCCATGAGATATGTCGCCGTAATTGGGCAACTTGACACAAACGGATTCACTCATGACAAGAATCTAATTCGCAATTTGGCCAAATAAAATAATAAAAGAGCGACCTCATACCATTTCTGGACTTCAGTAGTACTTAGGCATGCTGGTTCTTAATCAAATTGGTTAGTTCTGTTCTTGCGGCCTTTTTACTTCATAAACTAAAGAGGGCCGCACCATGATTCCAAACCGAAGGACCAACAGCGGCAATTTTTTTTTTTTATAAAAGAGTAAGAAAGATGATCTAAAGCCACCTGCAACAGACCATAACAAACCAAAAACTCAGACATATCCTTTCCACGTCCAACCCTCTCTTAAATTCATGGCCTTCAATCTCAACCTGCAGATGATCTTAATCATAAATAAAGCACCAATGATGTACAGCGGCACACCAAGAGCACAAAAAACTCAGTGACAGACCACAAAAACCCGCCAGATCGTGCTTAAATCTCCTTCAAAGCCACGGGTCTGGAGTTTCTTGCAAATCTGGGTTTGAACCAAGAACAGCTAGACCCGTGGAACTGCCCAAATTCACGCCCTCATATCTAATAACTTAAAAGACTCGTACCAAAATGCGCTCGCCCTAAATGAAATTACGTAACATATACTTTCAAATGCAACAAACATCTCGGAGAATGATAAACTATATAGATCAAACCAACCTCTCCATGTAGCCCACACGCGTGATCCACCTGGCCGGCCACGTACCAGCCACGGCCTAGTGTGGATCAGCTCTGTTTTTTGGCTCAAGTTTTGAGCCTCCTACCCAGTGTTCTGAGACACCATTTCCTACCATTTCATGTCCACATCCTTACCTTGGAATTAGTCTACATATCCATGGATTTAACTCATTTGAACATGTACCAAAACATGGCTCAAATCAGAGATGAACTCTGGACCAAAACTCATGCACCAGCAAGCATATACCCCAGCACACACACTGCCAAATCCGAGCTTGATCAAGCGCTCAAATGGCCATATCCCAAGCTTCACAGTTTGTACTATCCATTAATCACTCTAAACCATGTCATTTAACCACAAGGAAGATAAAAAAATGAACCTAAAAACACCCACCACATGTCATATTCAACAACAGCATACATGGGTGAATGGCCAAGTTCAAAGCAATCTCATGATTTAAATACCAAACCAAGATTCTACTCCCATATAACATCCATCACAACACAAGGATTCTACTCCCATATAACATCCGTCACAACACAAGGATTCTGCTCCCACATAACATCCATCACAACACAAGGATTCTACTCCCACATAACATCTATCACAACACAAGGAGGGATAATGCATATAAGGTAGCAGGTCGACTTTGGCAGTTGGTTGAGTCAGTTTTAACACTGAATTTTACCATATAACATTATACATCTGCTTCTACAGAACCACAATCAAACCATTCAAACCCGCATCTCTTTGAGACTTATACTCCGACTGGTACAGGAACTTCCCAGCCTGCAAAAGTTGCAAAATGAAATCTCAGAGCTTCTGCCCATTCAATCGCAGACGATCCAGTGCTCGCTAGATAGGTTCATCCGAACTAACCTGGTTGGCGACGAGGCAATAGATTACAGCTTGTTCAGGCAGAATGGGAGCATCCGTTCCATTGCATCGGCGACCCACGCCCTGCGATTTTCATTCCACGACGACCATCTCTATCAAGAACTCGATCGAATGACCCAACACCGTTTCCATGTGAATTGGATATTATTACCTCTTGAATTCCCTGCCAATAGATCTTCAGCTCATCTTCCAAGCCATTTTTCACTTCCACGTCAATGGTATCTCCCAGTTGCGCCCGAATAGTCGGGATCGTCGTCTTCCCATTGACGGCGATCACCTCAACATTGTTGGCGCCCAACACCAGCTTCACCTCCCACCGGAAGGAGAGCTTTCTGGGCTCAGCCGTTCCCGGAAGCGCCAAAACAAAAGACGAGCGATGGAATTAGCCAACTCATCTCTCATATAGGCAGAGCTTGTGATGAAGCAGAATGGATATGGAAGGAGAAGATGATGCAGGGGAGGGTGTATTGAGAAAGACAAGAGTGTCGTGATGTCGGTTTGTGCTAAGCGGAGGATAGGCGGCGTGCTTTTTTTTCTTTTTCTTCTTCTTTATGTAATTTACAATTCGATACGCATATACGCTGACGCGGAATTAAACGAAGCAAATAAAAAATGAAAATCTGACCTTTTCCTTCCGCACGGCACCGCTCCGCAGCGGCTGTTGGTTCGGGGGCAAAACAATCATCGAGAATAAGGTACCGCATGATAACCATTCTGGTTCTGTCCAGAACT